ATATTTTAATAATATATTATCTATGATATGCATGATAAAAATATCCCACGAATATATATGTAAATCTTTTTCACGCCTATATTTTCAGTTCATATATCATAGAAGTCTAGGCAACATGTATAAAAATCTTAACTATTCGAAAACGTTAAATTGATAGTTTATACTCAGGTTAATAGTTTACACCCAGCACTCGTAGACTTACAAAAATGTAGTTACACTAACAAATTGCGCACATTTAAATAAAATATCTTTAAATAATATTCATAAAATTCATGCACTTTTAGTATATAAGGTTGTACTAAAATTATGAGTTTATATACATTTATTATACATTTTTAAATAAAAAGATGACTCTATAAGATACTGTTACAATTTTTTAAATGACTTAATTTTACGATCACTTACGAGTTTTTTTTTAAGGATGAGTCTACAACAAGATGCAATATGTATCTTTAGCACCGATCGAGAAGTACCGGAGCGGTCTTGATAAGTTCGAAAAATATTCATTCCTTCGTAGGCTTTGCCAGCATCATGGTTAGCGTTCCTGCTTTCTACCTGTACGACCCAGGTTCAAATCCCGATAATTGCAGAAAAACTTTTCTGTGTCAAAACAGCAGGATTTGTCTGCATAGCTGTACTGAACATGTTCTCAAACAGACTCAATGTGCTCAAAAAGTGTTATGACTTTAATTTATTTTTTTTACAAATACGTGTGAATATCTATAGACCATCTATTGTGGATATCTACGATATATTACGTACCATGCCCGGACATCTAGCCTTTAACTGTATTCAAAATAGAGTTCATAGATATCTATATATATCTTTCATACGTTCAATAAACATTTATATACTATTAATTTACGGATATTCCACGTTCCGCGGTGTAACAGAAATAATAACAAACATCTAACTTTCACGTTACTTTTATGCTACATAACACGTTAGCTTCGAAAACGTAACACTTACTTAACAGGTATATAACAGGGTTCTGTGGGTAATTATTTTGGAACAGATTTAAAAAACGGTTTTAACACAACATTTAACATAAAGGTTTGACATAAACAATGTACACAAATAATCCTCTCCACGGCTTTCATTCGCCCATCTTTTGTACTTAATGCGCTGAATTCAGTTTTTGCCATTTTTACTGATTGAGTATGGATCAGATCAGATGATGTAAAAACAATTTTCATATATATATATGTTAAAATATGTATAAAACATTTCTTCATCTGGATGCACCGAATCGTTGGAAACTTCAGCATGTGATTATGGAAGCCCTAAGGAAGAACGTGGTACTCGTGAAATTTCATTTTTAATAAGACATTTTTTTTATTTATCCCAGACTTGTCGAAAAATGAAATTTCATAAGCATCACGTTCTTCCATAGGGCCTTCATAATCACGTATTCAAGTTTCAAATAATTCGGTGCACCCAGTTTGGAAAAAAGATTTATAAATATTGTCTGACCCTTTCATGTCACCTTAATAATTTGTAAACTAATTGTAAGATGCATTAGACGGAATTCCCGTAATTGTCTTTTCATATGCTGAAAATCATTTTATACAATCGCCATATGTAATGTATTTACTAAAACATACAAAAAGTTTAAACAACATTTCGAAGTTACAAAATTCGTTACCAAATGGAAGAAATACCAAGGCATGTTTAAAAACATGAAGAATTAAATCTATGATTATTTATCTAACAGGTGTAAGGAAGTGGTGCAGTCAGAAAATAGCTTCGTATTCTTGTATTTAAACATGAGCTCCATTGACTTTGACGAAGTGTTGCAACATGTAGGTGAAAAAGGCAGATATCAAAACATCATGTATTACCTTTTATGCATCCCAGCAACGTTACCAGCAGCATTTTTGGCCTTTTCACAGGTAAGCATACATGATATAAAATATATCTCTCAAATAACATACACAGATACTTTGTAAACGCCAATATTTAAGGACGAATTAGATGGAGAGATACTAAAAAGCTCCGAAACAGAAATGTCAATAAATGATTGACGATACTAACTAAATTAATTCTAAGGATGAATCAACTTAAAATATTTAACGTATATTTTATATGCAGGATAATTCTAAAACGGTAGCCACAGTTTACACAATGCTTTCCTTGTTGAAGTGGAGTCGAAAACACACATATTCTGTTTTTTTTTCCACAATCCATAGTTCACCTGTAATAATTATGATATGAAAGTGGCGTCAAAGAGATCTTTATAAAACATTTTTTCAAGCCGTGTGTATCGAATCGTTTTAAACTTTACACATTTGATCACGAAGGCTATAAGGAAGATCCTGACACCCAAAAAAATTCATTTTTTTTAACATTCGTTCGTAAACATTTTATTAATTTTTTATAACATAAAATTGCATGGGTGTCGGAACCTTCCTTATATCCTTCATATTCATATTGTGAAGTTTGAAACAATTCGACATACCCAGTTCGGACGCCAATTCCCATCCCCTTAAGGTGAAGTGAAACCCGTTCAAATCAGTCGATTTGAATACAACACTTTTTTTTAAGGGCATTAGACCAAACTTTCCGAAACTTTGACACATCACTCCTGATCATCTAAGAATTGTCCTGACACATTCAAAATTTCGATTTCTTAACAAAATTTTTTAACTCAGCCCAGACCAGAACCAAAATGGCGTCGAGCTCTCATAAGTCGATCAATATACAATTATCGAAAGCTCCGATATGAGAATCGAAATGGTCAGGACAATTTTACGACAATTTAGAACACTCTGGTAATCGATAAATTCGCATTTGAACAGAATAAGGACAAAAAAAGTGTTGTATACGCTTCTATGCTAAAACGATGGTAATACGAGGTCTCGGAGTGAAAATTTAATTGACCTGGAAATCACAGATGGCGCAGGGGGTCCCTCTGCAGTCAATTGGGACCCCAGAAAGCTTGAATCCAGAGGATTTCTGGAGTTTTACTTCGATTTCTTGACATTTATTGTACGAAAACGACAGGTGGAGTATGCCATTTGGTACAATATTCAATGTAATTCGACACAGCTGTCAGTATAAAAACGAACGTCGACAACGTAGGCATTTAGAAAAATCTTAGATGATCAGGAGTGATGTGGCAAAGTTTCGAACCGTTTGGTCTAATACCCTTAAAAAAAAGTGTTGTATTCAAATCAGCCGTTTTTGGTGGAAACGCCAGTTTGAATACGCAGGTAATAACATAAGCTGGCACGTCACGTCACCGACATTTACATTTACGTTTAAGTCTCTACTCCGAATAGTCTACGCCGAAAATTATACGAAATGAAGCGTTCCATATGTCGTTTCGGTAAAGTAATGATAGAGATTGATATAAAACTGTCGAAATCCCGTGGAATCATGATTTTTTGTACTCTAATGGACCAACGGTGCCATCTGTGACGTTTAACTGTAACTAAATTTTTGATTGATGATTTCATGATTTTTAACACTATAACATCTTAAGGGGGTGTGAAAGTGACATCTGGGTTTCAATCGTTTATGAAACTGTCCTCAGAACTGGATGTACTGAATTGTTCGAAACCTTACATCGTGAATGTGGAGGCAACAAGGACGGTCCTAGCCCTCATGAAATTTCACTTTATAACAAATTTTTGAAAATCTCGATGAATAAATTTAAAAAATTGATATTTCATGAATTTCAGAACTTTCCTTTCAACATCCATATTTACATTGTAAAGTTTAAATCGATTTAGTACATCCAGTTTGGAGAATAATTTCATAAATGGGACCACTTTGATGTCATTTTCACATCACTTTAATGCATGATGTTCTATCGTAGCTGGCAGAAATAGTTGATTTGGGCGATTTTTCCAATTAATCGAGGAATGACAGATGGCTTCGTTAAAAGCAATTCAGCTAAATGTTTCATTTAAAAATAAAACAAAGGTACTTTTTGTGAAAATACACTTTAACACCTGATCAGTGCCACCGGTAAAATAAATCAATTATATTATTCACATATTTCTTTTTCAGGTCTTTGTGAGCGCATCACCTGATCACTGGTGTAAAATTCCTGTACTGGAGAACCTTACAGGTTTGATGAACCTTGAAGAACAAAAAGCTTTATCATTGCCTTTCAAGATTAAATCAGATGGACGTAAACAATACTCAAGGTGTTACATGTACGACGTTAATTACACGGAAATAATTGAAAACTGGTTTCAAAGACCATTTAGTAATCTTTCCGAAATTCTTGTGCCCACGTCCAATCAAAGCTTTTTATCACCTCCCATGAGCAAAGATGATTGGCCAATCAGCAAATGCCGATACGGATGGAGTTACGATACTCGAGACTACGACAGTACACTCGTAACTGAGGTAAAGCAACTTAATGTAATTTTCCTAATCTGAGTACGTCACTACTTGCGCAGTAACAGAGCATTAGACAAATTGGTCAAAGTGCTCGTTTAACGATTTAAGATGATGTGAAAGGCGGTGATAAATTTAATCGACGTCAACAAAATAAAATTCATCTATACCCTTTCCGGTGATGAAGCCATTTTGAATACTCAAGTGGTAACATAAGCTAGCGCGTCACGTTACCGACATTTATATTTACGTTGAAGTCTGATACACTCTATGTTGGGAATTATACGAAATTAAGCATTCTATATGTCATTTCAGTACAATAATTATAAAGAGATCGAAGCAAAACGGTCGAAATCCCGTGGGTTCATGATTTTTAATACTCTAATGGACCAACGGCGCCATCTGCGACGTTTAGCTACAACTTAATTTTTGCTCTAAAAACGTGTTACACACAAGAGAAGCCAGTATTCTCTTGCAATCGTTGGTGAAAGTACTAACCATATTTTTCCATCTGACTCTGTAATATTCCATTTCTATGGTATTCTAAATGTCCGAGATAGATCCTGAAACTCTTTATTTTCTATTCTAAAACTTCAAACAGCGTAAAACAACGAAAACTTGCACAGACCACGCCATGTCGGTTCTAATCCATCATAAATAAATAAATTTTTTATTAAAAAACTCTGGACCGCCATTACATTCGCCTTCGCGACATTCCTGGGGGTCCACGGCAGGGAGTAGTCCCACAAAAAGGAGGCGGGTTACCCCACGGAGTCGGTAGGCGCTTTCAGCTGATTCCGATGTGGTACACGGCGTGATCGGCACCTCAAGCTCGCAACTTGCCGTGACCGTGGTTTTTTTGACCACCCCAGGAGTTAATTCCTCGAAGGATTCATCGTGGGTCATTGCATTTGCGAGGAGATCGCGTAGACGGGCGACGTTAGACCCGGTACACAGTCACTCTGTCGGGAGACCCCTGAGGTCGTCTGGATGTTCGCCCGGTCAGGTCGAGGGTCGCAGCCGTGCCCTATGATGGGAGTGAGGATCGCTCGGTCGCGGGTGAACAATAGCCTAGACCCGATCCAAGCCGATTTGGGAATCTGGATCATAGGGCTATTTGGCACCTAGACGCCGATTATCCGAGCCATGTATAGAGCTAATGTGGACCGCGTGTCGGATCTCGGATTCACCCGCCACGAGATGTCTGTGGACGACACGTTCGAGGATGATCGTTTCGGTAACCCAGGTCGGAGCGAGCGTGGTGGTCGTGTCCCGATATGGGTCGATTCGAGCAGTATCTTGTAGGGCAGTTAACGATATCATGGTCTCGAATATTAACAAGAACGTGTTAACGAAAGGGAAATTTTCAATGTCAGGTGTAAGAACCTAGAATCCTGAAGCGGAGAAAACAGTTGGAATGTCTATTATACAAAATGCGCAAATGGTCCATTGGTAGCCCTCTCCACCAAGGAGGGGTCGGCGACCAGCCCAAGCCCCGATCGTTCATCACCAACACCAATGCCTGTGCTTTCGGCTTGGCCGGAAAATGCGTTTCTCACCGTCACTGACCCAACCGGGCACCAAGGAGAAGCGCTTGCTGTGCCTACCAATGTTCTCCAGCCCAAACCGCAACCCCATGCGTGGAGGGGAATAGCGCACCCCCACGCCCTGACGGAGCCATGAGTTGCATGGGGAATAGCGCACCGGGCACCCGAAACTCCGGCGAGAGAGGGAAAGCATCGTGCCCCCTCGCCAACATCGGGCCGTTTAACGGGCATCACAGAGTGGCTCGCGCATCGATGCCCGCTCGATATACTCATGCCCCAGGGAGATGAACCCCGTGAGTCACGTCTCGCCGCGCATGCAGCGTCTGGGGGTATTGCTCGCGTTCAGACCCCACGCATACGCAATTCAGGGTTTCCGCTCCGGTGCACCTCCCTTCCGGGTCCCACCCGTGTTAAAGGGAGACTCTTGCGACGGCACCCCGGGGTGAGACCCAGTCGCGCCAATGCCCCGCATTCGAGCAAAAGGCCACCCGGACACGACGGCTGTCCGCCGTTCTTCCTCACACTTCTCGCCACTCACTGTACCGCTGTCAGCGGCTTATCCAAGGTAACTGCAGCTCCGCCAGCCTGGACCACGACCCCTGGACGCAATCCGGCTCCCGGATTGAGCAAAGCCGTGTTATTGACCGGTCTCGTACCCGCCCAGGACGCCGGTCTGAGAACGCCAGCCAACAAGTCTAACGGTCCCATCTACCTAGTCCACTGGATTCTCACGCTGGACTCGAGATGCAGTTGAGCACGAAAAGAAGGATTCCGAGAATCTGGTGAACTGGACCACCACGGCCTCCATTATTAGAGCACACTTGAAAACTCTCCCACTAATTACATTTCGAAGCCGTCTTTTTCGGACTCTGACCCGTGAGGGGTTGTAGTTGTTTTTGTAGGAAGCGGGTTAGTGCATGGGGGAATTAATGGCTGCGTCAATGGCTGACACGATGCGGGGGGTTGTTCTGTCTGAGGGGGATACCGGTTCTGGGGCGTCTTGGAAGTCCGCACAGTTTGGGAGCTTGGAATTCGTGAAGTGTGATTATTCTTTCGGAGGTCGTGTTAAGGGGGGAGTTCCGGATGAAAGTGGTCATTCGTCTGTTGATCCATGTGGTCGTGTTCTTTCGGATCCGTCTGTAGGTTGTATCTTGCAGGAGATGTCGGATTTTCCTGTCGCAGTCCTGCTTATTGGGGATAATACTTTTTGAGGTCACATAGGGCGGATTGTTCTGTATAGGTAAGATTTGATTTGGGCGATTTAGCTTTGTAAAGGATGTTTACAATTTCTTTGTGGATTTCGTTGGCTGTTTCGTTGGGAAGTGGATAGTACTTTCCATTTGGCTTATTATGCCTTCTGGTGGGATGCGGCTAGGATCTGTGGCGAAGGTAGGGCCTTTAAATAGTGCGGAAATGGCGTCGGGGAACAATAGGGTGTTGCTGAGGTTTTGTACCGTGTTCTTGAGCGTCAACTGCTGTTGGGATTTCGGGGGTGGGATCTTCTGGAATTTATGTATCGTGGTTTGATTGGTGGTACACTGGTGCTAGATGCAATCGGCTTGTTCATAGGTAATGTGATGAATGGTGTTCCATAGGTCACTGCGTAGGATAGTGAATAGTTGGAGGGGGTACTCACTCAAGAAATTACGGATTTTAACGCTTCAAATCATGTGGCAAACAGCTGAAAATCGCAAGCAGAAATCACTGGAAATCGTTGGAAATTACCGAATACTGTCATAATCTGAAGGACGAATGTCACTTGTTACCAAATTGCATTGTTATTTATCATATGAAATCAAAGGCAATCGGCCCTCAAAGAAGGAAAGCGTTTTCTTTCCAAGTAAATAGCCTCTTGAAACAGTTTAAGGTGGAATCTGAGAAGAGGTGGAAATTCGGTCTAGCTGTTGTTTTGTATGTGCGTAAATTCAGAGAACAACTCACATCGCAGAAGCTTAAAATCCTTAATTGTCACGTTAACCATTTTCCGCGTCTTAACTGCAGTAAACCTTGACCAACAAACCTAATACAGCTACCCTTTCGACACAATATATCAACTATCATTTATTAAGACTTTCCAAGTCTTCACTTCCTGCAGATCCCAACAAAGTAAGTGACCTAGCCGCTCGGGTCATCTCCCCATTAAATCGCAACAAATCCGTTACGCAGGCATTCGAAGGAAATTCATCACATCTATACTCGAATTACTCTGGCCTCGAAAAAGCAATGAAATTTTTTCTGGAGGAATATAAGGCATGAGCGAGGAGCCCCACGGAGTGCTACAACTTTAATTGCTAATAACTCGATGAAAAATGTTCTGAGACAAAAATGGAAAAGGAACGTCTAATTGAAAACTCCACCCTCTTTCGCCCCTTGAAAAATTTGTCTATTATGAGACACCTTGTATATACAGAATGACCATTTCATATTACCTTAAAATATCATAAATTAAGAATGCCACATCGTTGTAACAACACATTACAAATCGCAGGCTGCAATGCGTCCGTTATGCCAATAACTATATCGGCTAATATTTCCCTATTAATCACTTACATTTTTTAACAATTGATTCATATCTAATCCTTCAACAAGCACAACGCAATCATCGTATAAGTTTAATGTACAATTTCGAAGCACGCGTATTTAGTATGTGTACTCATTGTAGGAGAAATTTACTAATGTCCGACCTAGTAACTATAAAATATCTAAATTTTAATCACTACCTACATTCACATAGCTAGATCTCGTGTGCGACAACAGTTGGTGGCCTTCTACGTCGACAACGTTCTTTTACGTCGGCAGTCTCTTCGGTAATGTCGTCTTCGGATGGATCGCTGATAAATGGGGCAGAAGAACGGCTTTCTTCGCTATACTATTTCTGGAGGTCATTTTTTCTATAGCAACAAGTTTTAGTCCAAATTACGTAATTTATACAGCTTTGCGAACCGTCAATGGCCTCTTCTTTCCTGCTATATACCAGATACCCTTTATTCTCGGTACGTATATGTCAGCGTTGCAAATAAGATCAAATGGCTCGTGTTCACGTGCAAGTAACTTGTGACACTTCTTGCTGGAGCAATTTCAATTTCCGGGTACACTACATTAAATTACAATGATACCGTATCATTTACTTACAATAAATTTGCCGTAAATCGGTCTAGCAAGGACTTGCTGGACGATTTGCTAAAGTAACTTCCTAGATAAATAAAGTGATGCAAAATTTCCATGAATTTGTCTCATAAAAAAACATTAATGCCCGATGTTTTCATACTCCCGGATAGCAATTCTCCGGATAAAGATATCTGCTAGATAAGTAAAGGTTTGGTTTTTTTCACTGAACTGTAGGGTTTGCTATCTGGAAGATAGTTAAATGTTTTGGCAATCTAACAACACCGCAAATGCGAGAAGTAGTTAACTTCGAGAATTACGATACCCTTTAACTACCCACGTCTATTGGTGGGAAATTTTGAATTTGGTTTTGGGAATTAATGTTAAATTATATAATATTAAGCACAATTTTGTAGAGTACTTTTATTACTTTATATTCTCCAGCTGCTAGAGAAAAGTACTTCATTAGAAAATCGTTAACAATTTTTTATTATTACATGATATTGGAATAAGTGATACGTTTAACGAGTCAAAGTCACAAAATATGCATTATTAATATTAATTCATTAGTTGGGGTTCAATATTTAGTCGGTGCCGGCTCTGACGAATGAGTAGGTATCCGAGAAAGTAGTAAACAACTCACCAACGCCGGCGAGTTTCGATAGGGACCACAACCGGCACCCGGCTTGCCGAGTTCAACGCCGACGAGTTTGATGGACGGATGAGATTGCCGGGTTACATGTGCAAGCTCCCATTTCTTTACATTGCATCCGGGAAAAACGCCGGCGCCGGTTTTGCTGGTGCGTGTACAAACTTTGAGACTTTAAGCGTCTCAGCGTAGGTGGCGGAAGTATTACTGTACAACACCAATGCAAGGGTTTGTCATCCCCTTATCCCAAAACACGCACGAATCCGTCCGCAACTTGCAGCAAGAATTTCAAGGTTAATTCGTAAGGCTAATTAAATCGAAAGGCGCAACTTCGACTTCCGTAAGCAGGCGTGTACACGAGCTAATTTCCGAATTTGAAGCGCTTGCCGGAGGGTACAAGTTCTTGCGCAAATTCAGTTCCAAAACCTTATACACTATGGCAAGAAGTGTCCGAAACAGCTCTCGCAAGTTTTACTTGTTCGTGGACTCGAGCCTTTAGAAAAAAGGTAAGAGATGATACCAGTGAAAACAACATTTTGTTATATTTTCAGCTCTGGAACTGATGGGTCCACGATACAGAACCTTCGCCGGGATGGTTATTTGTATGTTTTTCGCAACTGCCATGTCGCTGTTGGCGTTACTGGTGAGTACATTTTGAAGATCTATTACGTACACTCAAAAACAGTTTCATTCGTTGAAAAGATTCTAATTAAATATAGTTCTTCTGTAATATGTACGAATAATAGTTGTCATTTCGTACTAATTATTTAAATCTAAACAAAATTAATCAGAGAACATATTATGGCTTGGATGCTTCCAATTCCTGATATAAATATACACGTACAATAGCCATTTTAATTTTTTTTCGAATAAAGCAATATTTTTAACCGGATTGACGTAATAATAATCTGGAAGAAAATCTTCATTTTAAAATAAAAACTCCCTAAAATGAATAACGCCCCTAAAAATAATCATCCCTTCTTGACGCTTGCCTTATAAAACATGGCAAATGAAATTTTTTATAATGCTGGATTCCCACGGAGTGTGAACCACTGTCGTGAACCGTGCTTTCGTGTCATACGTTCCGTCTGAACGTACAGTCGTGAAACTTGCGTTCAAAATCACCATGCCACGAAACAAGGGTAAAGAGATCAAACATATTTGATTTTTCAGTCGTATTCACATCATCGTGGAGCAAAATGACATTCCAAAGCTCGTTAATTTAATTTCATGGCAACGAAACTACACATTTTCTAGATTTATATAAAATGGAAAAGGGGCTATAAGATCCTACTTTAGAAGAATATTGCCATTCGAGACTTGCGAACGGCCGCAGCTAAAAGAATTAGCGAGGCTTTAAGGTGAAGTGAAACACGTCGAGGAACTTGATCAACGTCGATAAAGAAGATTTTTCTAAATGCCTACGTTGCCGACGTTCGTTTTTATATCGACAGCTGTGTCGAATTATATTGGTTATTGTACCAAATGGCATACTCCACCTGTCGTTTTCGTACAATAATTATGAAGAAATCGAAGTAAAACTCCAGAAATCCTCTGGATTCATGCCTTCTGTGGCCCTAATTGACTGCGGAGGGACCCCCTGCGCCATCTGTGATTTTCAGGTCAATTAAATTTTTACTCCGAGACCTCGTATTACCATCGTTTTAGCATAGAAGCGCATACAACACTTTTTTTGCCTTTGTCCCGTTCAAATGCGAGTTTATCGAATACCAGAGTGTTCTACATTGTCGTAAAATTGTGCTGACCCTTTCGATTCTCATATCAGAGCCTTCGGTAATTGTATATTGATCGAAATATGAGAGCTCGACGCCATTTTGATTCTGGTCTGGATTGAGTTAAAAAATTTATTTGAAAAATCCAAATTTTTAATGTGTCAGGACAATTCTTAGCTGATCAGGAGTGATGTGTCAAAGTTTCGGACAGTTTGGTCTAATACCCTTAAAAAAAAGTGTTGTATTCGAATCGACTGATTTGAAGGATGTTTCACTTCACCTTAAATATATCTGGATTTGGACCTGTTACGTAACCGGAGCCAACAGCGACGGTTATGAACTTCTAGGGCGAAATTCAGAATGAGAGATTCGGGAAAGAAAATGATCGTTAAAATTTGACCTGTGGTTCTAAATTCCGAGTATGCTCTTCTTAGACTGACGCCGGAAACGATGCAGTGAGAATGTTTAAAAGAATATCTCCAGCAGCTGAGATATCCTTATCGGGGGTCCGTTGCTTTTTCAAAGTGCTTTGCACACCTTACTGGCTCATACCCTCGGGGTCCTATTTCAGGAGAGCCTGGATGGAAAATGTTCAAATGAATGGAATTGAAAGTATAGATTAAGTATAATTAAAACCGAAACAATTCATCCTGAATACAGGACAAAATCTGATTAGGTACAATATGATGATCGAAAGTGACGCGATAGAGTGTAATTCGCGTGGAACCATCTCCTTCGTATTAACTGAATTTAAAACTACTGGGTACTTGAAAGAAATCCACGTCCTAAGATCGCAGGTCTGTCCCGAGTCTACCTTCCGATTGCACAACAAACGAGCTGTTCAGTCTCCCTAATGATGTACGGTGACTATCGATACCTAACAAGGAAGGGTTTTCAGGTGTCCGCCTCCGATTGTTTTGGTTCTTGGATATGTTTTAGAGGACCAGAAAATAAGAAACACGTGTATTTTTATATCGGCCCGTTTTCACATTTAGGGGGTGAAACAGCCCCTCAAAGTTCATAAGAAGAGGTATAAAAATTGCTAGTTTGAAGAATAATGTGGTGAGTAAAGCTTGTTACAAATTTAAAATACGTCATAACTTGCTTGGTATATAATGTTCTTATCGGTATTCACTCTTACCTGGGGATAAACTACCCATAACCATACAAAGACACGTATAGAGACTTGAAGCGTAGAACATGGTCATTAAATTAAGAAACTTTAAGCATCAATTATTTTATTATGTTAAAATAATGGTTTAATGATCTTCTATCACTATTGAGGGGTGAGACACCCCTAATTAATTAGTTACGCTTGTCTCATAATAAAAAGCGTAAAAGATCTAAGTAATCTTCGAACGAATGCAATTAAAATTCATGACGTGAACAGTATTTCATAAAGATGGAGCTCTAAAATGTCACCATAGTAACAACTACCCCCAACGGAAAGTCCACCCCAATAGAGGGATTTATGGTCGGCGTTTCGTTTAAGACTAGTAAATCAATGTGAACGATTCACGCTTTCGACTGTCGTGATTAGTCACGCAAGTATACACGCTAGACTCGTTCACGACAGTGGTTCACACCCCATGCATAATATCGTCAAATAAAATCTACGAGACATCTTGAAAAATCTGTCGCTTGAGATATTATTAAAAATTAGAAAAATATATTTAGAAATTATTCCGTGCTACTAGGACATAAACTTATTTGTTAAGTACTTGTGATGTCCCGATTATCAAATAAACTTTTCCATTGTATCACCTAACACGTTTACTATTATTTTATGAATGTTTATTTCGAAAAACAGGTAATTTATTTTATTCTTTACAGGGTTATCTATTGAGACATTGGTACACCCTTTCGCTAGCCACGTCTGTACCATTCGTTCTTCTGTTCAGCTACTATTGGATAATTCCAGAGTCACCAAGATGGCTATTGAGCAAAAACAGGATTGACGAAGCGGAAGTCATCGTTCAGCATATGGCTTCCGTCAATGGAAAAACTGTACCCAAGAATTTTCTCAGAAAAATAGAGGTAGGGTAAACCACCAAGTTATTGAACGATTAACAACATTTCTTATCAAAATTATGTATATCGAATCAATATGTACTTTCTAGAAAATAATTTCAGCATCATAAAAAGAAAAGGTTTCAGAATGTTATAGTCGTATGAAATTGTCAATATTGATTACGTGAAATGTTATGAACGTTGCACAATGTTACAGGAAAATCCAAAATATTGACCGCATTTTTACAGAGAATAGAACGTACTCTTCCATTTATTAAACGGCTTAGAAAAGTAGAATTACATTTAAATCAATTAGCAAAAGGAAAATAAACAACAGCAACGACAAGTAAACAACAACTAAAAGTTTTAATATTTGTGCAAGGTGGTTTCTGCTTTGGAAGGAAAAGTTTTCTTGAAAGAAGGAAAGAAGGGAGCTTGGACCTTAATTTTTCTATTTTTGTTAATAAAAATCGTTTTAACGAAATTATTAGAAATGAATAAGAAAAAAGTATATGTTTACTAACAGAAATAAGTGAAATTTTTAAATCCAGTTATTGAACGCAATATTTTTTATATTTTATTCTAAATAATAAAAGTATTTGTTGCAATATATATATTTATATGATATTTGTGACAAAGAGTTACAAGAAAAAGTAATAGATATTGATTAATTAATATATACTTTAAAAGTAATTGCTTAACCTAATGTAATCACTAACTTATTTCGTGGTAAAATTTCTATGCAGTTTTGCTTTTAATTCTATGACGCGCACTAATGCAAATTATTGAACATCGTTAATATATATGCTATTGGCAATGCGATAAATTCGGACATTGTCCACATTGCTCAATTTATCACATTACCTATAACATATACTATGTCATGGCTGCAAAATATTGTTAACATAGTCGGATGCCTATTTATAACAATCATATGTTTCTTACAAATTCATAATATATCAATAATCGTTCATCGTAATAATATATCAATCATCGTTCAATAACTGGGTGGTTTACCTTACATTTTAGTACCATTAGCGTCTGTTTTTATGTTTTACAATTATTGATTCCCTATTTTTCTTAGAAAGCAGTAGCTTTTGCACCGCAGTCCTTTTTTTTAGTATTTTAAATAATTATATTGCTTCTTTACACTTATTGCCGTTTAAAGGTTAAAGTTGTTCAGAGTTAGTTAGTTATTACTTATAGCTCCAGAGTCTTTATAGCGCAGACTCTATTGATGCCAACTTATTTCTTGACAGGGCTCTATGCCCTGTTCAGTTTATAACTGGTTACTTTTGGAGGTTAGGTTGGCACTAGGTATCTTTACCGGCTGTTATATTTCTATGTTGTACTTTTTGGCTATTGCGGCGAGGGTTTTGAAGATTTCTTCGCTGCCTATTTTTATGATATGTCTAACATCCATGTTTATGTCGGGAGTTATTTTGCATAGTTTAAGGATAAGTTCATTAGTTCCATCCTGTGTGTCCTAGCAGTGGAAGAATAGGTGATTTGGATCTTGTGTGGGGTGGCCACATTGACATTGCGCAGTCTATATTTGTTATCTGATCTCCTGAGGTCTTGGGTTAAGTCAGTTGTTCTCTAAGGAATCGTTTGACCCTTCCTGGCTATCCTGTCGAAGGTTTTTTTCGATGCTTTCTTTAATTTCTAAGTCGTTTTTGTGTGTGTTTGAGGATGTGTTTTTGTTTTTGAAGTTCCGTATTACTCTCCATATGCTACTTGGGTTAGAATCTTTATTTAAATTTATAACGGGGAAAAATGGGAAGGACGGGGGTCGCGCGCCTAGCGCGGCGGCTCAGGGCCTGAGGGCGCCACTGGCCTCGCAGCGCGTTCTTTGAACGGCGTGACGGGCTTGCCCGTCACAAATTGCCACAGAAATCTTTGAATTTGCTTGCCTTGATTTTCTTGAGTTTTCTGTTAGTCTATTTTTTAGTTTCTTCATATGTCTTTAGGTTCTGTAAGGTTCGATTATTAATGAAATTCCTGTAGCTGTACATTTTATTGCGTATTAGTTCGTCACACTCATTGTCCCACCAGTAACTTGGGTTATTTTTGATTTTCCTAAAGTTACAGGTTTGGCACCTGCTGTTTCGAGTGCTGATTTAATTGCATCTGTGATCTCCTCCTACATTTTCGTACTGGTTATGTCGTGGTTTATATTAGTAGTCCATTCCCTGCATTTCTCCTTGTATTCTTCCCAATCGATACTTTTTAGTATTATCTTCCGTTTGGTGAGATTGTTTTCTATTGCGTTTGCCCTTATTTTAACTTCAATATGGATGATGGATGCAATGTGAATGAAACTGTTGCCTGCAGTGGGGATTTTTACTATTGTTAATTCAACTTGGTGTCATTGGCATGTAGCTATTAGGCGTTGATGTTGGGCATCTAGATTAACATATTTAATTAGGTTCCTAATCAACATCGTAATACCGTCACCTGGGAGACTAAATTTGTCCTGTTTTTTCAGAAATATTTCCGATAGCGATAGAATGTCTGCTGATCGGTCTTCTATTAGGTGTGGTATTTGGTGTATTTTGGTTTTGATTGCCCTGCAGTTCCAGTGAATTAGGTTAATTCCGTTTTTTTTCCTATTGTGTCTGGTTTCGGTTGATTATGTGTTTTCTTGAGGTTGTTTTTTGAGAGTTGACGTTTTTTTTTTTATTAGGGCGTGGGAGCTGGTTGTATCTGTCAGAAAGTTCTTTGGTTGGGTCTGTTTGTTTTGGACATTATTATTGGATTAACATATGGTTGTTTTCCTGAGTCTACTGGCTCAAATCTATGACTATTTTTTCTTTAATTTTAGTAAAAGGTCAAATTGTTCTTCCGTTTTTTGTGCGAATCCTAGGCTATATATAATCGTTTGCATTGTTTTGTGGACAATTTTTTTGATGTCAGTTTCAGGTGTTGGAAGATTAGATTGACTGTGGTGCACTTATTCGGGTCTTTCAGTTTCACTTACCTCTTTCTTCTCTTGAGACATTTCAATGTCTACTGTACTTTGATTATCCTCTCCAATCATGTTATTTTGTATGGATGTTTCTATATTTGCGTATGTGTGTGTCTGTTATTCTCTTCTTCTCTCAGGTACTTTTCTTTTTTTGCATAGCGTTTGTCTCTTTCTTCTTTGTATTTTTCTATAAGTGTATCCATTGATATTTTTACGGCTGAGCTATAGGTGATTGGTTTGGGGGTGGTATACCTCCCATTTTCTCTAATATTTCCATAGGCTTACTCGGCGTAACGTTGTGGGTAGAGACTACGGATTTTGTTTTTTTGGAGTTTGAAGATTGGACATCTTGGGTCAGAGGCACGATGGTTGATCCATTCCATATTTTTCCTGACGCAATTTATGCACTTATGCTGTTCTCTCATCGTATCCAGAGTACATGTTTCTCTTGTGTGCCCTATTTCAGAGCACATGTTGCAGATCGTCTGTCTGTTTCTGCATAGTTTACCGATATGCCTATATCTTTGACATACATTGCATCCTTTAACCCTATCTATATAGGGTTTCACTCGGACCGGTGTGCTCCAAAGCGTGAGTCTTTCAGGCACGTGTTTGGTGTCAAAAATTAATTTAAAAAGTCTTGATTTTATTTTTTGCACCTCGCCGTTTGCATTTTTTATCGTTCTGAACATTTGTTCAACTTTAACTGGGGCCTTCTATCCGTCGACTGCCCACGGTGGAGGTCTGAGGTTCTGTTGAATTTCCAGTAGGGTGATTTCTTTATCATCTATCCCATGTAGAACCATGACTTTAAATATTTTAAAGTTTGGTATGTAAGCCGCCCATTACTCATTAGGGAATATGGGGTTTTGATTCGCATACTCCACGTATGTGTTAGCATCTTTCGGGTCTTTGAAGAATATGATGAAGCGATTGCTTCCCTCCTTCTTCAGTCCGTACGCCGATTTCATAATATTAGGGATTTTATTTGAGCATAGCTTACCTAATAAGAATACACTTTTTTCAGTCTTATCGTTTTCATTTGTACTCAGTCATTTCAACATTCGTTTCGTAATTTTCTGTAATAATGATTACAAAATAGAGATTTGTTTTCCCTAATGTTTTATTATTGTTTTGAATTGAACCATCAATTGATTGGTTGGGTTTCAGTTGATAGTTTGTGTAGAGTTTATCAATACCAATAATGTTCATGTAGAAATGAATTCATGTAGATGTTTTTATCAGTATTTGCCACGCAGAACAATTTCACTTACAAACTCTGAAAGGTAAACTTCTCATTTGTTGCCCTTTACCACAACTACAGAATTACGTTTCATTCATTTTATCCCGATTTTAGTGAAACGTGGCATAATTTAAAGAACTTGCAGAATTATAGTACTGTAACTTGATACTTTCTGTAATTACACTAATTTTTGTCCTCTTATAATGTACAAATATTTTGTAATTTTGAACAATTTTCATTACACGAATCTAACGTTATAAATTTAAAACTTACATCATAATTTTCATTGCCGTTTAATCTTCTTACATAAACATTTTATGACGTATTTATAAGATGTCGTACATGTTTTCTTAATAGGAATTAATTCTTAAAACATTCGCACTAATTTTAAACGGACACTACTCATCTGCATGAATTTAATAAATCACGAGTGAACTTTAAAATATATTTTACATTACTTTTATTTAACTAACTGTTTTTCTACATTTGAACTGTCAACTTTGACTTTGGATCTCGATGCAGCGACCTCCACGCGGTGAGATCTGGGAAGTTTCTGTCAGACATTGCCAGTAGCTTGCAAACAGCTGCTTCAAAATAATTGTATAAGCGTATTTATATTTAAAGCGACATATTCGTACTAAGTGGTAATTGTTACTAACATTTTCATTTACAGCTTAATGTATTATTTGCTCCGGCCAAAATTCTATCAATTTTAAACTCAAGCCAATTCGGAACGACGTGCTGGCCGTGCACAATGTGTCAGGCCGAGCGTAGACCCTGGCGAAGATGCTTTTAGTTGTGTAATATATGTGCAAGATGCACGCACACATTGTTGCCGCGTCGTCTAAGCTCCGCCCATAACACGTTTCATCTCTCTCATCCGAGTGAGAAAGAGCATTAGTCACCTCCCATCGAATTCGGTGCTAATGCCATCTAGCGGTCGATGTCATCGTCCCCACTTTGGTGGTGGACTCCGTTAAAGTTGATCCATTCAGGACATGCGATTCAAACCCGACAGTGGGCGTGTGGCGTTCGGCGCCACGGGGTCGCGAATTCCCAAACGCGTGTTTTTATTTAATTTAAATTTATTATTTTCAGTTGATAATTTAATTAAGTACGAGTAAATATAATTTAAATAATAAAATTCGAATGATTAACAAATGAATGTAAATACTAGTTAAATAATTATTTATTAAATAAACAAATTAATTAGTACAACATTATATTACAACATCGCTGCTTCCTACCGAATTCAGGGATTACTACGATTTCTGGCACACACTGTGCAATATAACTCTGGAACATTTATCAGCTTGAGGCACAAACGCACTAGAGCGCATTGCCGGCGTGCGGAATTCGCCGCGGAACGCGGAAAATATTTCCTGAAAGTATCGTTTTGCCCCGTAGCCGTGGAATGGTAATGATTGGTTAAGCCGTCTCAAGGCAATCTGCGCTCCGCGTTGATTCCGTGCGGTTTCCGCGTGTATGAAAATAAGGCATAACACGTGACTATTTGTGAGCTCAAATTTGAAATGAAATAATTGCAAAAATCAATTTGAACAATTTATTATCACAAGAGCAAAATAAGAAAATAATTGGTTTAACAGTCTGAATCGCGAACTAGATAATTATTACATGTTGAAGTTCGGCGGAAGGCTGTGTAGAAAAAATACGGTTAAACAAGAAACCCTTTGTACGAAAATACGCCCGATTTTGCAAAAATGTTAGAAATCTAACTAAATCAAAAAACTCGGAGAGAGAAATCTAGAAAAATCAAACAATTATTCTGTTCCGAACTCTAAAGGAAAAACTATGAAATTACTTCATCGAGAACTCAAAATAGGCTCCCCGAATCCAGGAAAACGGGCACTCCGACTAGCGTCGGGATTGCACCGACTGACACGGTATTTTACCGATCTCCCTGTCCGACCGGCTAGCTCGGCTAGTCGGAGAGGAGGTGACTTCTGGCCATAAAAATAAAGAAAGAAATATAGACCTAGATTACAAAGGTGAGACCAATGCTCACTTACGCTTCTCCCTTGCTCGGGAACCTGCAACCTCTCCACGAGTTGAGTATTTTAACGCGGAGGCTCCTAACGGTCGGAACGGATCCCGCAAGATGCGACTCACGATCCGGTTGCCCCACGGTTACGCAGCCTCCCTCAGGCATCCGGTCCCGGTCGTCTCCGTGTGTGAACGGCCTCGGGATGGACTCCACCACCGCCCTCGTCGGTCTCCATTTTATACGCACAGCACTTTTCTGATATTAGTCGCAGTCGCGAACCCGAACCGCCACTACTCGCGACGCCGACATGGGCCTTTACAAATGATTTTTCGAATAAATTCGTAACGCCTGGCCGAAACTCGAGTGCAAGCTCAACGCAGACTGAGGGGTCGGTTGGCGACGACACCTGGCCGAGGTCCTTGTGACCCCCCCGTTATTGCGCCGCTTCCTTCCGGGCCCCGCGGGGTTACGCAGTCTCGCGGAAATCCAGTAGTGGGATCTCAGATTTGCCTTTGGGGCGATCGCTCCTCATGAAGTCCCCTTACCGACCACGGCTCCTGCTCCAGCTACTCAACGGAGCCCCGGTTTTAGGGCGGAGCTCCCATTCGCCCTGGTCCCATGGTGGCACCAGGGCACCGGGTCTTCCTCTTCGCGCCAACGAGCCCTGACCTCGTGAACGCGCCGCGGTCGGCCCGGTCAACTCCGTAACACCCTTAAGGATTCGAAAGGGTCCATGTTCCCCAATATGGTGACGCGAGGGAGAGCTCCCTTCCGACACGATGCTTCCGCCACGTGGAGGACTTTAAGGCCGCGATCCCCCCCCCTCGGACGACATTGGTTCGGAAAGAACACCGCTTTGGCATGTGGAGGAGGCTTCACGATCCGCCACGTTACAACTTCTATCGAAGTTACCGACATATTTATGTCGACAGCAATGTCGTATTCTATGGAATGGTATACGCTATGTGACGTTTCCGTACAGATATTATAAAGACGCCTTGGTAAAATTGAAGAAATTCTCTGGATTCATGATTTTTTATATTCAAAGTGCCACCCTACGCCATTTTTAACATTCAGTGTCAATTAAATGTTCTCTCCGAAATATCGTAATATCTTCGACAGGAAATTAGCACAGGTCATAAAACACATTTTTGCCCTTATCATGTTCAAAAGCGTGTTTTTGGATTAGTAGAGTGTTCTAAAGTTTTGTGTGTCAATCTGGAAATTTCTGTTTCTCACTCGAGAGCCCTAAGGTGATATGAAGGAGCCAGCCTATGTATATTTGAGAGGTCAAATCGATAGTGAACGTATTCTCCGAATTGGCTGTACCGATTCGTTTCCAATTTTACCACGTGAATATGAAGGCCCTAAAGTAGGTCTCTAAACTCAGCATTTCATTTTTTAGAAAAAAAATTATTTATTTATCATGCACTAAAACCAACTTGACGTCGTCCACGCACGTTTTTGATATTTTATGCTTTTTGAAGACTGAGAATCGAAAATGAAGAGTTTCAGGACCTAGCTCGAACAATTTAGAATGCAATAGCAATGGAACAGTACAGAGTCAGATGGGAAAATATAGAAAATACTTTCACCAACGATTGCGAGAGAATGTTGGCTTGTCCCGTGGGTAGCGCGTGTTTTTAGAGTAAACATTAAATTGCACCTAAATTTCACAGATGGCGCCAGTGGTCCATTAGAGTATAAAAAAATCATGAATTCACAGGATTTCCACAGTTTTACTTCGATCTCTTTATAATTATTCTACTGAAATTACATAGGGAACACTATTTATCGTGTAATTTTCAAAGTAGAGTGTAACAAACGTCAACGTAATTGCAAATATCGGTTACGTATTGCGCCAGCTTATGTTACCGCTTGAGTATTTAAAATGGCCTTGCCACCAAAAAGTATAAAGATGAAATTTAATTCATCAATGTCGATTAAATTTCTCCGCACCTGTCATATCACTTTAAGTATGCTACTAGAAACAAATCGATCGAATGAATAACTCTTTATTATTAAAGCAAGGTTGAATGTACTTTATTGAATGCCAGAAAATACTTATCTTCAATTAACTGTTTGCAATCATTGTAACGAATTTGTAACGTTTCAGGCGGAGATTTTAAGAAATAAAAATATATCCTGCAACGGAAAGAAATCGAGTATCATAACATTAGACTGTGATGTCAAAGATAGGCCTCCTCCTCCTTCTGCAACGCCAATGGATCTGATCACGAATCCGAACATCCGTAAGAAGTTTTTAATTCTCGCCTTCGATTGGGTCGCGAATGCGGTCGTCTATAACGGACTGTCCTATAACACGACCAATCTCGGTGTCTCAGATTATTTGGCCTTCTTCATAGGTATGAGTTTTTCGTATTTTTTTCCGATATTGAACGTAATATTTTTTCTTCTTTTTCCCATTCAAATTCTATAAACTTACGTACCTGTACCTAAGAGAAAGTTTGGCAACAGAATTTAACGGTTTTCCATTTAACGCAACCACAATAATTCTGTAACAATGCGTACATTATTCCATATTTATTTTATGTAATAAATAACGATTACGCACTGCGAGTGGTTTTCTCAGGCAGTGCATGTAATTTCTCTAATTGTCCACAAAATAATACGCATTATATGAAATAATTTCAGTTCATATACAAGAACGGTCCAAATTGGTCATCCTGATGATTATTGAAACCTTTAAGGTGATGTGAAACCCCCCTCAAATCGGTCGATTCGGATAAGACACTATTTTTTAAGGGTATTGGATGCGACTGTCCGAAACTTCGACGCATGACTCGTGAGCACCGATCTTGACCCTTTCAAAATTTGGATTTTTTAAGAACATTTTTTAACTTAGTCCAGAATAGAACCAAAATGGCGTCGAACTCTCATATTTCAATCAATATACAATTATTGAAGGCTCTAATATGAGAAACGAAAGGATCAGGACAATTGTACAACAATTTAGAACATTCTGGTAATCGAGAAACTTGTATTTGAACGGGATGAAGGCAAAAAAGTGTCTTATGGGTATCTGTGTCTAACGGGCCGATGGACTCAACGGACTTGAGAAATTTGATAGAAATTTAACCTAACGTGAGTCAATAAAACGTACTCGAATTCTTCGCCAAACTTACAAGGAAGGTATCCCAGGTTGATCTCTCCGATTTGATTTCTTTTATAATATGTTATAGTAGACTAAAAACTAAGCGACACGTATTTCTTTTTATCTGCCATTAAACACTTTAAGGGGGTGAAACCACCATCCAACGTAAAGCCTGCGAGGGGTGATTCACTCCTTAATTTTTTTTTTAATTGCGTAAATTATATTTTTCATTTTGATTTCACCCCCTTAAAGTGTTTAATGGCAGATAAAAAAAAAATACGTGTCGCTTAGTTTTTAGTCTACTATAATTATGAAAGAAATCAAATCGAGAGATCGACCTGAGATACCTTCCTTGTTAGAGGGATGGACTGAAACTTCTTAAAACGTGTTCAGATCACACTTAAAAGTGTACTCGGAAACTTTCGCAAAGTGTACTCGATTATTCACAGAACGGACACCGAATTTTCCCACAACAGACTCAGAAATCCTGCACTACGGACTTGAAAATTTTACGAGCGGACTCCAAAGTACATACGACGAACTCAGAAGACTGGGTTTGCCATATTCACGCGAGTGGAACCTCTTCTTTCGACTTTGTGATCTATGCGATCTCGGATCACGTCTTCTTTTGTTGCACCCCGAGTTTCAATTTGTTACTACACACCAAAATCTTTCGACATGAGTTAATGCGACGTGCAGTTCGTAATACTGCCTAGGATCTAGAGATTTTAATCGGGCCGGGATTCTCCTTCTCCGCCTTCCCTAGGGTCCTCGACTCGACTTGAACGTCACTTCTCCGACATTAAAACAATAAGGGACAAGTTATTCGCTGACTATTCACCTGGGCGATAGAAAGAGAAAGGGACGGGACACCTACGAGACACAAGAAAGAGTGAGGGTTGCAGGTGTCGCGCGACCCAAAAGTGAACCGCCTACGCGGCCCGAGAAAAAAGGGGTTCCCGATAACATCTTCGCTAGTTTAGTGCTGGCTAGTCTCTCTGCTGGTCCTTCGACAGGGCTTTGTTGGTTGCTGCGGTTTTTATCGGCCCCGATGTCGTCGGGAAGAAGGCCCTGGGGTTTCGGGGTCCCACTTAAACAGTCCAGGACTTTTCTTGATTTGGTACTCGTTAATTGCGCGTCTCTGGAAGGGGCTGGATCCGTCGCCTAATTTAGTGCGTGGATCCTCTCAGACAATAGCTCACTGGAGCGGTTTTCCATGATTAGGGTAGCGGTCGAGATAATCAACGGTACGCAACCGATTGCTCTTAGGCGGCGCGGCCAGGGCGGTTTTCTTGAATATGCCTGCCGCGTCCCTCGGTGGAATCCACGCCGAAATTTCTCATCGTCTCCGCTCCCAATGATGAAGTGTTGTTGTAGAGTTCCGGACGCCCCAATTCTCGATCGGGTCGCCGTCACCTCGGGCATCTTCCGCAGCTCGACTGCGTGACATCCAGGCAGTTGGTGCCGGCTGCTACCGGGGTACTTCGGATAAGCTTGCACTTGCCAATTCGGAATTAACCGAGAGGCTGGATTCCTCCCTGCGGGCGGTCGCGTTCGGGGTCACTGTACTAGCCAACTCTCTATCCCCATGAGTCTGGCATCTGGTTGCTCCAGCAGTCCTGACGGGACCCTTTGGCTTGGCCCTTTTCCTGGAGATAGTGGCGTTAGACCTCGGAATTCAGCGCTCCTCCTGCGTCCGTTTCCTTTCGAGAATTCGTCCCCGAGTTGTCCCCCTCGTGGTCCTCGGTGACAATGGTGGGTGCTGCAGAATGGGGCAAGACGACCGGCGCTACATTTAACACTAGAACTACCAAGCCCAGTCAAAATGACTGGTTTTAGATGGCCCACCACAACCAAAAACTTCCGCCGGTAGTTCTAGTGTTAGATCTAACACATGAATTTGGGTTACGATAGCCGGATCGATTCGGTTTTCACGTATCGGATTCAAAAATTATCTATGTTTTGTGTCCTAAATGATTCAATCTATCGATTTGGAGACTTGGGTAGCAACCATGACTTTGAGAAAGTTCACTTAAAATGAAATGTTGCAGTTTCGGAAGCGAAACTCCAGAATCGGGTCGATAGGATTTTATTCCGTGCTTCCCTTTTAGGGACATCCTGTTATGACGGTATTACAATAGAAAATGCAACGTTGCATTATGTACTCTTTCCTGTCTGTCAAGAATTTTTTGTTGAATGTGCGAAGTGAAGACGAAAGTACAGTAGCGTCGTTAAAGCGACGTGTCCGTTGACAATATTCTTTAAATGCTCGTCTACGGCTCATATTGTAAGTTCACGTCGGATGTAAAAAGACCCACTATGCCTCCTTGGTAGACCATATACTATTTATGGAAAAAATAAATTGTTTGACTCAGGAACGGTCTTAACACCTCCATAATCACGTGTTAACATTTCATATGAATCAGTTCATTCATCTTTTAAAAAAGTTTAACCGTGCAACTGATCGTTCAAACTTACCTTTCACATTGCCTTAACGGAACCTATGATAATCATTAATTAATTTTAAAGAATGTAATCGTAATATTAGTGCAATGAAATAAATTTCCATGTCATAATATAGTGATTTATATTTCTGTTTTCAGGAGGAATCGTTGAAATCCCGTCGTATGTGATCACGTGGTATGCCATGGATAGGATAGGTAGACGTTGGGTTTTGTGTTTAACAATGCTTCTGGGCGGTCTTGCGTGTGTTTCCTGCATGTTCGTTCCAGAAGGTAAATGTATAACACTTCAATTCTGCATGTTTCTATGTCAACTGTGTTAAATATGTTTATTATTATGAGTCGGTATGCCGTATCCTTGTCATTGGTTATAGCGTCACACGCGATCTTTGGATAGATGGATATCAAAAACACCTTTATACTATGTAAAATCCCTTCTCCAAATACGTATGCAGTCATAAAACAACTAGAATCAGTTGTTATGTACCAGACTAAACAAAATATTTCTGTCCTGGTTTATTGATAATTTTTCTAAACTAATGAATTCAAACATAAAATTCATATAATTAAAAATCTTATAAACATACATATCGAGATCATCACAAATGTTTCTGGTCACAAAATAACACAAAACAGTTATTATATTTCAAACACGAATTATATTGCTAAGCAGTATTGGTCACGCGCCAATTTGTATCTATTTTTTTTTTTAATTGGTAATCAATGAAAAGTTTGATTAAATAAATAATAAATTATTTACTTTTGTAACTCTCAAGCTGTATCATTCTAATTGATAAGTAATGAAATCAATATTTTCGCAAGCTGAAGTAGATCAGTAGGATCTACTGAATGTAACAGAAATGGTAGGTACGATTTATGCAGAGCTATCCCTGTTGAAAAAAGTGTCAAAAAGTCCTGTCGTATTTCTTCCTACAATGCATAATTTTTCTGTAGTAACTAATTGAAGCATAGCCAATCAATCGCGTTTTCCAACGGAACGCACAACGGAGGGGACGCTGGTAAGACTGCTATGCCGCAAACAGCCTAACGCAGCCTTACCGGCGTTTTCTCCGCTATGCGTTAAGTATTATTGACTGGTTTAGGGTCAATGTGAGGTTGAAAGGTATCCGCGTTTTTGTCGCAACAACAAAATGCGAAAGAAGACGGCCAGGAGGTTATGTTAAGGGAAAGGATTGACAAGGAGGCGGGATGGCGGCTCTGCCAGGCCTGCTCGAATTAAGGTGAAGTGAAACCCCCTTCAAATCAGTCGATTCGAATACAACACTTTTTTTTTAAGGGTATTAAACCAAACTGTCCGAAACTTTGACACGTCACTCCTGATCGTCTAAGAATTGTCCTGACACGTTCAAAATTTGGATTTATTAAAAATATACAATTATCGAAGGCTCCGATATGAGAATCGAAAGGGTCAGGACAATTTTACGACAATTTAGAATACTCTGGTAATCGATAAACTTGCATTTGAATGGGGTAAAGGCAAAAAAAGTGTAGTATGCGGTTCTATGCTAAAACGATGGGAATACGAGGTCTCGGAGTGAAAATTTAACTGACCTGGAAATCACAGATGGCGCAGGGGGTCTCTGCAGTCAATTAGGGCCTCAGAAAGCATGAATCCAGAGGATTTCTGGAGTTTTACTTCGATTTCTTTATAATTATTGTACGAAAACGACAGGTGGAGTATACCGTTTGGTACAATACCCAATATAATTCAACACAGCTGTCAATATAAAAACGAACGTCGGCAACGTAGGCATTTAGAAAAATTTTCTCTATCGACGTCGATCAAGTTTCTCAACGTACTTCACTTCACCTTAAGGTCTTAAAATTAAATAACCACTCGGGCGCATTCGTCCTGTTCTCGCACTCCAATCGAACACCGAGTATTGAGGCGCAATGTTCCGTATTCAGCAGTCCAGAAACCCAGTGCCAAAGCGCGGTGCTTCGGGATTAGAATTCCAAAATCTAAATGAAGCGTCCGCAGTCTTTACGCTCTTCTGTCCACAGTTCCCTCTCTTAGGTCCTCCCTACTCTCTCCCAAGCACCACATGCTCGAGTTGCGCCGAAATATTGCCCATGGTACAGGGGCGTACGTTGGTCATCTGACCCGTTAAAATATGTATTCGGTACGAAACTCTACCGAGTTTCTTAATTAATCGTTGCATGATAACTCGTTTCCAACCACGTGGTTCAAATAACAAATTAACATTTTAATTTGTTGAGCCGGACTAAACTTAGCGGATAAAGACTACATGAACGTTTCACGCCTATACCACGCATATAAATATGTATTTGGCGCGAAACTCTACCATTCGAGGTTCATGATGCATGTTTCAATGAAATATCTCTTACCGTATCATGCAAGAAAATTTGTTTTTACCAGATTTGTCTTGTTATAATAACGATGAACGGAAACGAAAACGCGTGTTTTCCCCAATTACATGCATATATAAAATCAATGAATTCAGTAAGTGTCTTATGTTAATTAATGTTTCTTGTTGTAACAGATGCAGTTTGGGTCACCGTGTCATTGGCAATGGTCGGTAAATTCGGTATCGCTGCCTCCTTCGCCGTTTTCTATGTTTTCGTGGGCGAATTACTTCCGACAGTATTGAGATCACAAGCGATGGGAATTGCATCGTTCATCGCTGGGATCGGTCTGCTAACTTTTCCATACATAGTGCATTTAGCTGTATATTCAAGAGTACTTCCACTGATTGTCATGGGCTCATTGAGCGTTGCAGGAGCACTGACTTCAATTTTTCTACCCGAGACCCTAAACATTCATCTTCCACAGACAATTGAAGAAGGCGAACTTTTTGGAGCTGACTTTGATCTATGGTCCTGCCCGACAATCACCTCGTTAGTGTATTACTTAATTCTATATCTTTACATTTGTTGCTCTCGTGATATCGCCCCATTTTATCTGCTATTTTCATTCTGCAAATTACTTAATGTACTTATCTAACTGAATTTATTTTTTTTTAGAAATTACAAATAATTATAGAAAATTAAGGAAGTTATTTTATCAGTGTACATCCTGGAATCTAAAGTCGATGGTCATATCAAACGGCTAATCGATCCACAATTAAACTTGGCCCGACCTCTCGAATTGATTACAAGAAAACTAAGCTTCTTTGAATCAAGTAACATGAACAGGACTGATACTTGCTACGCTCGAGCATTACTTTTACATTCCTCCTACGCAATGTACAAAATAAAGTTGTTAAGCTGAAATACGATTTGTATTAATTTTACCTATTTTTCATATGATTAAGGTGATATGAAAGAGTCAGCCTCTATTTATCCGATAGGTCAAATCGCTGGTGAAAGTATTCTCCGAATTGGGTGTATCGATTCGTTTCAAATCTTATCACGTGAATATGAAGGCATTAAAGTAGGTCCTGAAACTCATGAAATCTCAATTTTTATAAAAAATGTATTTATTTATTACGGACTAGAACCAACATGGCGTGGTCCGTGCACGGTTTTGATGTTTTACGGTAACTGAAAATTCACAATCGAAAGCGTCAAAATACTTATCACGAAATCACAAAACGAGGAGTTTCACGATCTAAGCATAACAATGTAGAACACTATAGTAATTGAGCATTATATTCATGTGGGAAATATTGAGAAGAGTTTTATATATATGCGCAGTAAAATTTTTAAATATACCGTGAGCAACACAGTGTTATCTCTGTAAGTACCTATAGAGTAAAAATTGAGTTACAGTTACTAATGTACGGGACAAATATTCGAACCAAAGATTTTAAACTTCCGAGCTCATTAATTCATTTTCAAAATGATGATTATAATTTAAATTTATGCAATAAATGAGATAACGGTAGCAACATGGGTAACTAAATAAAAATACTAACGATAAGAAAGATTGATACTGTTATCTTACGGTACGAATTTAATTAATTTCATATTAATTAATAAATGGACGGTAAAACAAATAATGAAAAACTGAACTAATAATAAAAAATTACATAACTGTAATGTATTTTGTGCGATTGCTATGAACTGTAAAACATGACGAAAAACATTTGCATAAAAAACCATGCCTACCCTTCCCCTCCTTCAGAATTTGAACTTGCGACACGTACGTTACACCTGACGTCATACCGGCTACGTCAAGCTATGTTGCTGGGTATCTCCTTCCATCTAGGTTTTATGTGTTCCTTAGGGAACATTCATAATATTTTTATTAATTTCCGTAGCTTATAAAAATTGCATATAAAGTATACCTCAACTCTCGAGCGTTGTAATTTTGCCTATATCCTTTGCGGATAAAATAAATAAGGTAAGTGAAGGGTAAAGTCAAAGAGGGTGCCGCGAGTGTTCTTCCCTTACCATCAAATGCGGACAGTGTCGGTAAGCGTAGGTAAGCCACCACCGTCAACTGCCACATGGTATTACCATCCCGAATATGTGAGCCGTCAACGGCGACTGGTAGAAGGCACCGCCATCGCGAGTGCGCGGGCCCCTACTAGAAATTCGTTGCGCTGCCCTTGGGGGGCAAAAACGGTGAAACCTAACGTACGAAACCAGAGGGCAGCACAAGATGCGATCGAGTGAACCTGCCCGTGAGCAATCTCCAGGGTTGAATAGTGACGCGTCATTCGAAGTTTTTAACGTAAAATACTTAAGGGACGTATGTTACATAACATTTAAGTAAAATACCTAACAAATTACCCGACAAAGACGGCGGTACTGTAACTTCACTTTTTTAAAGTAGCTAAAGTAAATATAATTCACTTGTAAATATACATTTTAGTAAAAAACAAAAGAAATAAAATGCATTTCAGTTCGTATGACCGTAGAAACAGGAAATCCAGATACATAAAGACCCATATTCGTGTAATTTACATCACGTATAAAACTAGAGTAAAACACCTAGTAATTTACTGTAAGAAGCACGTAAATTATCTGGGGTATTTTACTTACCCAACCCTGGCAATCTTCCAACTCATCTCTGCTCGAGACTAGTGTTTGCAGCAACCTCTGGATCTATAGTATCGGAAGAATGAACTACCAAATTTCCCGCCTAAAATTTAAATTGAATAAAATTCAGAAAATAATTGTTTAAAAAAATATGATCTAATATTACTGTAAATTTCGCAGTTAATAAGGTTAGGTAACTTATTAGCTGCAAATCTCACATTTATAATAATTTCTTTAAAATTCTAACTTTATAATTTAGTTATAATCATTTCTTATTAATTATAAATGTTAAGTTAATTCAATATGATTTGAAATCATTATTTTTAGATTGATCGGGTTCGTAATATGAACAAATATGAATAATAATGGGATAAATTAACGTTTTTTTGATAATAATCTATGAGTTTCAAAGAAACATAACCCATGGTAATGTTATTTACATATATCTATATATGTACAATGGCGGACATGAATGCCTCCCCTGCAGATACGACATCGCCTGTGCAGGATGGAAGAGCATTGATGTCTCTCAGTGTTCATAAATATACCTTCCTATGGTGTTTCGTTGTATTTCTATTCGATGATAACTTCGAATTTATAGCAACTTTGAAATATATTTATAAAATCAATACATTGTTGGGAACGAAATGTGAACTAATTTTCCTTCTTTTGTAACAAAAAACGCATCGAATGTATCGGGTTTCTTCCGTACAGAAATAAAAACATACACTTTTCCCAGTAATTATTTATTGCTAAAGTTTTTTTACATTCTCTATTATTACATCTATTACCGCTATTACAGGTTATTTCAAATTTTCATGATTTAGACATTTAAAAATTTTAAATAAACAGAAGAAGGTAGGTTGAGTAGAAGGTAAAAAAATGAAAATCATAGATGTCGCCAGGGTACACAGGGTACTGAAGAAATAATACAGATGTCGGTCGTTTTAATGAGTAACGCGCAAGCGCAAAATTAGTTCCTCACTTCCGTCCACGAGGTCAGATGGCGCTGCAAACACCATCCAATTTCTCCGATTAGAGTGCAACCCTCGGATCTGCAGTGATCTGCAGCAATCTGCAGTGATCTGTCATGTACAGAAATTATGCGCGTAGATGAATTTTTAAAGCAACAAGAGTAGCTGTAACTATCATGTTTTGCAGAACTATACCGTTCCGTTTTATATTTCCTAAGAAAAGAGCTTTGTATTTTGTACAGTATGCAGGTGTCTCGTCACATAATTTTATTTGTAATGAAATTGTCACAAATCTGGTAAGCGGGTCTACGAGGTTAGCTCCGACGTACGATCAGACTTTTTTGGTTACAAAACGGTTTAAATACGATAAAAGGGTGACAAAAAAGGTAATTGTCATCATATTTATTTCTTGACGTTCATTATCAATAAGACATTTGATATGCGTTATAAGTTAATATATTTGAACATTGTTTCTATGGAGGCAATGATTGAATTGAGAAAAATTTTGAATGTAAGGATTTCGTAAATCAGTTAAATATGAATTGTCGATAATTTAAAAGAATTATGTTGAAAAGTTATCGTAGTTTGGCTTTCTTACATACTACGTATGTCTAGTGAACTTTTATAATATTTAGCGAACTACAATACATTTGTTGAAATGGTTAAGTCTGAGAAATATTTTCAGTTCCCCTAAGCGATTTCAAATGCTGATTTTAGTTATGATAATTTGTTCCTGCAAATCGTATTCAGTCATTGAATTTCATAAACATTTATTGAAAAGGTTTAGTCGAATGTATTGAGCAGTTAATTTAACTCACAATCCATTGTTAAGATAAATATACAAGGGTGTTTCAACAAGTAACAGCAAAAAGATTATTTTGAGACATGCTATTCACCTAAAAATACAAATGATAAGTTACTTTTCTATGTAATTACGCTCCTTTTTGAAACACCTTTTCCTCCATTATGGCAACTTATTCGTTTCATCAGAAAAAAATGTTTTGATTGTGCGTTCAGCTTCTTTGATCAAGTAATAATCATTATAATCATTGAATTGCATGTTAAAATTGTCACGGGCAATAGATTTTTTTTTTTCCTTAAATGTTATTAACATTGAGCAGATTAATGATTAGTTTTCTGATTACTTGAGAATCACGTGGATTTAAAAAAGTATATTCAATATTTTTATTTGGTCGACCAATCCTACTGGATACTCTTTATTCACTTCCATACATTTAATTAATGTTTGTACATGTCATGGAATATTAAAATACAATTGACTTGTTTTTCTTTATCGGACTAATAAACGGCCTCAAGAGATGAAATTAGTCATAAAAGTTATATATTAACAAAGATGAGCGGGGAGAAATGGTGTTTCACGCCATTGTTGAAAGGGAGGCACGGCTCCCTAGGAATTGCTTTCAAAGGGGCGAAATGTTCTCTATCAGTAAAGAAAAACACGTCTACAGATTTCAAATACAGCGCGGTATGGATACAATGAAGTTATCACCTTTTCGTTTTTAGTATCAGGGTGAACGTAGCTTGAGAAAGAAGACTATTAAATAAAGTTGTTACAAGTGGATGATTGAGATTACGACGTGGCACCCACGTATGCCCTGTTTACCGACCACAAAGATTTCGCCCCTTTAAATTTAATTATAATTTTTACAGAGGTGTAAAGGGTGTAGTGGGTGCCAGTGAGTCGTGCCTCCCTTTCAAACAATGGCGTGAAACATCTCCCCGCTAATCTTTGATATTAAGATCGGATTAACAATTTCGTTCACAAATACCTCATTCTCTTGAATGAAAATTAAATAAATAATTGAAGAAAAAATTTTCAACACGTTTTTGTCTAATTTTAAGGAAGAGGAGGAAGATGAAGATGAATCCGAGGACATTGACGAGGCCATTGATATTCCTTTAAGTAAAAGTTCCAAAGTACTAAAAACTACAGTACCTTCTGCACGAGCTGATGCTGTTCTTAAAGCTGGACTCAATACATCTCGCTCGTAAGTTTTTTTCTTTTTATAAAAATTAAAAACAAGGAGAAAAGATTTTCAGTGCCCCTTCCGGTTTTGTTCATTTTTGGATTGGTTCTTCATCGATATCTGAAGGACATATTTTTTATCATAGGAAAACAGTTTTAATTAAGGGGGGAAATCAATCCCCAAAATTGAATACTTTTCAACAGATTTTCATTGTTTTGCATACTTTCAATTGAAATATTTCAATGAAACCAATTAAAGAAATAATACTTGTGGCGAATAGTGAACAATGCATTTTGTTACATGTGTAATCATGCCAAGATATTACTTGAGTGATTTTAAATTTTAGGAATGTGGAGACTGCTTTCTACGAAAGTTGTATTCGATTAAACGGAAGCAAACTCTTGAAAAAGAGTGAACTGGTAAGTGCTATTCTTGTATTTCAATTACAACGTACGCATAACTTTTAATATGAGAAAGATTACTGGCGTTGTTCGTAATATATTCATCTAGAATTGCCTACATATAACATGTTCTACGTTCTTTCTGTGCAACTATTAGAGATATTAATATGAACCGTTGTTTAATTGAATAAATCAATTCTTGATAATAAATGGAGATAAAAATTGAAAAAATAAATTCGTGATAACGGGAATATACGATTCAGCAAGCACTGCATCAATGTTTCATCCATTGTACAAACCAATGCTCACGAATGATATTTTACTCTTAAGGTATACCCAATGCGATTGGAAATCTATAAAATGTTAAGGTGATATGAAAGGGTCAGCTTATATGTATAGGAGCGGTCAAATCGTTCGTAAAAGTATTCTCCGAAATGGATGTACCGATTCGTTTCAAATATTACTACATGAATATTGTGGAGATCCTAAAGTAGGTCCTGAAACTCATGAAATTTCATTTTTTATAAAAAATGTATGTATCATGGACTAGAGCCAATTTGATATCGTCCGTGCACGTTTTTGATGTTTTATGCTTTTTAAAGGCTAAGAATCGAAAATGAAGAGTTTCAGGGCCTAGTTCGAAGAATTTGTAATACTGTAGATATGAAATATTACAGAGTCAAATGCGAAGATATGAAAAATACTTTGACGAACGATTGCAAAAGATTGTTGGCTTGTTCCCTAAGTAACGCGTGTTTTTCAAGCAAAGGTTTAGTTGCAGCTAAACGTCACAGATGGCGCCGTAAGTCCATTAGAGTATCAAAAATCATAAATCTATGGGATTTTGACAGTTTTACTTCGATCTCTCCAAAATTATTCTAATAAAATGACGGAACGTTTCCTTTCGTATAATTCTCAAGGTAGAGGGAGAGAGAGATTTCATATAATTCTCAAGTTTTACTTCCATCTCTCTATAATTATTCTAATGAAATGACGGAACGCTTCCTTCCGTATAATTCTCAAGGTAGAGTGTAATAGACTTCAACATAAAAATAACTGTCAATAACATGGCGCGCCGGTTTATAAATTGATATTTTTAAACAATTTGGTTACACGGATTGTTACAATTTTTCATAAAAAATGAAATTTCACGGATGTCAGGACTTACTTTGTAGTCCCCAAATTCACGTTGTGAAATTTGAAACCATTCGGTACACCCAGTTAAGAAAAAAGTTTCATGAACGATTAAGTCCTCCGATGCCACTTTAACATCTCCTTAATAACTCGGTAAATAGTCGCATTAGAATGAAAATGGTAAAGGAACTTTCGACTTAATATATCGCCAACTCCCATCAGTTTCTGGATGCACTATGAGTTCTTCGACACTGTATATTTGATCTTCGATCGATATCTATTTCTTCTTGTTCTTCGTATTCCTTTTATTCTGATTTATAATATATATTTACAGGTAAAGCCAGGTGATCAACTTGATTTAATTAAAGGTAGGAATCTGCAAAATCCTGACTTTCTAAATGTCGACCGCATCGAAATTGTGTCAATGGATTCAACCAGTAACGGCTTCAAAGTGAAATTGGTCAGAGACAAAGGATTAGTTATAGAGAATTACGATGATCCTTGGAAATCTACTACAATCTAATCTACTCATGTTAAATATATTAAGTTTCTTAAATATATAGTGTATCACATCAAATGTAGTATTCTGTTAATTTTATACGATTGTTCCTAAAACTTTTGCATGATACTGGCATATGCCGTGACACAACATTAATGTCATTTGCATAATCAAAATAGGTTTTTAACGAAGGCCAACTATGAAATTCCTCAGTCGAATTTTCAAAACATTAAATAGCTGCGTGAAGAACGGCCGAAGAAAGAAATGAATGCATGACTATGGTTAACCGAATAATTTTATTTCCTGCGGAATAAAATGATTCCGAAAAAATGACGTAACCACGTTATGAAAATAATACACGGTTCGGTTATGATTTAGGCAATTTGTATAAACCACCTGAAAACAAAAGTTCGTGTTCTCTAACTTTCCTATCCAAAAATTGCCTTAATTCGGGTAAACCACATTCAACAGTGCCGGGACCTTGGGACGCAAACATTTTCAACATTTGGTGGATCCTTTCCAAAGGCATTGAATCCAGGTTCGTTAGCATCCCAACTATATAAGACCAGAAGACTTGTAACTCTTCTTCTCTCTGATCACTTGCAGATGTCATGGCACTTTCCACTTCTTCATCTTCTACAATTTCCGTTAATAACTGATGCTTTGAATTACTTTCTTCTTGTAGAGTAAATGTATCAGGAGAAACTTCCTTTAACAGTCCTTGCGATAGCCAAAACGTAATTTTGCGGCGCAATACAGTAGCTGGAGCATGCATAACGTCAGCTAATTCACTCAGGGTCCACTTGGCTGTTAAACAAAATTAATATTACTTGTATAACGCATAACGAAACGCATTTTAGCCCTTTTTTTTTATTATTCTCAAGACAATTAATATTTTACTCTTTAAATAGTGCACCAAACCAATAATATCAAGTTTGAAACGATTCGGTACATCACCTTAAGGTGATATGAAAAGATAATTATATATATTAATAATACTTTTCTCCAAACTGGGTGCATCGAATCATTTGAAACTTTAGCGCATGATTATGGAGGCCCTAAGGAAGAATGTGAAACTCATGAAATTTAATTTTCAAAAACATGTGTTCTTGGTTCTAGTTTGGGATAAATAAAAACATTGTTTTTTGGAAAATTATATTTTATGAGCATCACATACTCCCTTAGGGCCTCCGTAATCACTCGCTGAAGTATTAAATGATTCAATACACTCAGTTTGGAGAAGAGTTTTATAAATATTTTGTATGTATGTAGTTGTATAATATTTTGTAATAATATTTATATTTATTTTTATAAATATTGAGTGACCCTTTCATAACACCTTAAATGTTACAAGCAACTGATAAATTTTAAATTCCTGTTCTGTGATGAACAATTCCACTGAAATGAATACCTTCTCGTATAACTACCTCCCCACCTATACAATAAATATATAACAACTCATGGTAATGAATTGTAATAATCTTACGTTTATCTTGAAAGTGAAGGATGATGGTTGCATGAATAGGTGTCACATTAATGTCAATTTTTCTATCTTTTAACTCGATGATCAAATTGACATTTCCCAAATGTGTTTTCCAACACAGTGTTCTGTTTCCTTTTAATGCTTCAAATGCTTTCACGTATTTCTTCAATTGATTCTGAACATACTCTGGTAATTCCAGTTTCCAATCTTCTTTAAATGGTGGCCAAAATTGCGCCGATAATATCAGAGCAGACGTAGAAAAATATTGTTTCTCCAAACTGTAAGTTGTATCTGATTGGATATTTCCATCTATCCTCTTGGAGTCATAAACATCTTTCAACATTACTTCGCAATAATGAAGTTGATTTTCACCAAAACGTCTCTTTAAAAGTTCTAGATGCCTAATTTCACGTTCCGTGTGATAATTCAGTTGTGACAATAGTCTATCCGCTAACAATGTCCGATATTCGTTCACAAATAAATCTTGGCTCCCGTAGACATTTACCAACATTGAAATTATATCCGACATTCGTCGTTGGCTTGATTTACCTGTAAATTACACAGAGATTTGTATAATACCAGAAAAAGAGCAGGAAGATATTTCACGCCATTATCGAAAGGGAGGCGCGGGAGTGCCGTGGAATTGCTTTCAAAGAGGGAAATGTTCTCTATCGGTAATGAAAAACCCGTCTGCAGATTTCAAATACAGCACAGTATCGATAGAATGAAGTTATCACCTTTTCGTTTTTAGTATCAGGGTCAATGTAGGTTAGGAAAGAAGACTACGAATACTAAATAAAGTTGTTATGAGTGGATGATTGAGATTACGACGTGCACCCACGTATGCCCTGTTTTACCGATCACGAAGATTTCGCCCCTTTGAAAGTAGTTCCAATTTTTACAGAGGTGTAAAGGACGTAGAGGGCGCCAGTAGGCTGTGCCCCCGTTTCAAACAATGGCGTGAAACATTTCCCCGCTCATCTCTGAGAATACGCAACGGAATAAATGTATCAAGATAGTACCCATCAAACACGGTTACGTAACAATAATATAACCGTTACATAACGTTTGTAACATGTAATCTAACATACATGGAATATATAAGTAAAATATGTTTTACTATTTCCTACACAGCTGTATATCACCGTTATGAAACGAATTATGTAATGTATATATTATATATCGGTAACATGTTATATGTTATGTTAATATTATGTAATTACAATGCTAACAAGTTTGTAACAATGTTACCGAACGAAAATAATTCGACGTTATTGGATGTTAATATATCTTTTGAATAATATTCGTTATATATCACGTTATTCCAGTGTTATGTAACTGTAACATAGTATGCTTGGTGGGTAGTAGTATGGAGTGATAAGAAAACTGCGTAGAGGGAGAGCAATATGAAAAATTACATTTTGGTTTGAGCTTTTTGTCATTTTCTCCAAAAGGAAGCAAAAACCAGGAAACTCCTTCAGGCCTTTTCTTTTCATTTATCAGTTTTCCATACGTTTGCAAAGTTCTGATATTTAAATGTAGAACACTGTATAGTCATTCAGAAATCATGGATTACAGTCAAGTAACATTTGCTGATTCGTGAAATTTATTTACATTCTTCTTCGATATACGAAATGGCTCAGGTGAGTATCCATTTCCATTTCGAAATTGAAATGCGAGCAATTAAAAGAGTAACTTGAAACATGGATTAGCTTACATGGATCAGCATCAACTGGGTCCGGGGCCCATTTTTGCCACGATTCATCATCTTCATCGAATGATGTGTCATCCAGTTGTAAAGATTCTCCTTTAACTAGCTCGTCGGCCAAGTCACTCGGTGAGTCGTCCAACAATCCGCTTACTACACATCTAACGGTATCTTCCCTACTCCTCAAGTATATCCTATACATGTCATAAGAGTAGATAATTGAAGTTCTGTCTTAAGGTGAAGTGAAACCCCCATCAAATCAATCGATTCGAATAAGCATAAGAGTTCACTTTTTTTTTAAGGGGATTGGGTCGAACCGCCCAAAAGTTTGACACATGACTCGTGGCAGAATTCTGCCGTCACAATATTAAGGGCGCATCGGTGACGGTAAGTACCGAATTTTGTCATTACTTAATTTCAGTATCGGTTGGCGACACTAGGGGTCATCTTGGGCGATCACGAATTGTATGTGTTGTAAAAATTCGTTAGTATAAGAATTGTTATTTAGATATTGCTGGTCATTACCATTGTCGGTACGAGTCGAGGAGGATAATTCGAGCATTTAATAACCCGCGTCGCGATACTCTTCCTGACACCTAGCGTAATCGCCGTTAATTGTTGACGCCTCATGGTTTCGGCGGCTCTCGCGGAATTGGTGGAAGAGGTTTTCCGCAATTCGGTGGTCCTGCCGATCCTCGGAGTTCATTGTCCAGGATACTCCGATGGTCGCTGACGCCCTGTTAACGTCCCGTAGTTGAATTGCCACTAACTTGGTGAGCAAACCCAATATGGATTTCATTAAAGATTCGTTTCTTCTTAATTGTTAAGAAATTGTGACTTGTACCCTCCTCGACACGCGGGAAAGATCTCTCGAAAGGAGCCTGTGGCTCCTCCGTATCACATATGACCCACTGATTCACAAATTTGCCGGTGGGTCCAGAAATGTCTCGGTTTCATATATTAAATAAAAGAGCTTTCGTTAAGTATTGTTTTAATCTGCTTCTTTTTTCTGTCCGTATCCCAAATCCGAAATTTTGCCGTTTCGGAACCCCCATCTTTACCGTGCCGTACACGGCCACTTAGGTCCTTGCGGGGCTGAGTAGCCGGATGTCGCATTTTCTCGCGCTTTTCCGGGAGCCTGAATATCTCAGCCAGAAGAATCGACGGACTCGCGGTATGCCAAGGCATACTTGGCGCCTTAAATAAATTAAAGCGAGCCGTTCCTCGTATTCAAATTCCATCGCCCGGCCGAACTCGGAATTATCGCGGAGCACCTAATTTGCAGGGTGTGGGTGCGAGACCATAAATCCCGTCGCAGCACACAGGATTTATCCTAACACTTTCAAAATTTGGATTTTCGAAAAAAAATGTTCAACTTAGCCGGGGCCAAAACCAAAATGGCGTCGAGCTCTCATGTTTCGATCGATATCCTATTATTGAAAGCTCAAATATGAAAAACGAAAGTATCAGGACAATTGTACGACAATTTAGAAGACTCTGGTAATCGATAAACTCGAATTTGATCGGGATAAAGGCGAAAAAAGTGTCTTACGCGCTACTATGCTAAAACGACGATAATACGAGGTCTCGAAGTGAAAATTTAGTTGTCACGGAAATCACAGATGGCGGAGGGGGTCCCTCTGCAGTCAATTAGGGCTTCAGAAAGGTATGAATCCAGAGGATTTCTGGAGTTTTACTTCGATTTCTTGATAATTATTGTACGTAAACGACAGGTGGAGTATGCCATTTAATACAAAACCCAGTATAATTTGACACAGCTGTCAATATAAAAAAGAACGTCGGCAACGTAGGATCGCGTATTTAGTAACACCTTTTTCACCGACGTCGATTAAGTTCCTCGACATGTTTCACTCCACCCTAATTGAGGGCAAAGAGAGCCAAACGGCGCGATAGTGCTCGCTATTTCAATAGCTCTAAGAGCACCGTCAGTTGTCCATACCATTCAAATGTACTGACTTTTTTTCAACATAAAATCTAAATAGGGCGATCGCGCTGCTTGGGACTGAAACGGTTAAAAGAAAAGTGTCTTATTCGACTTAAACGACTGATTTGAGGGGGGTTTCCCATCACCTTAAAAAGCGAATTACTTACTTTACTGGTTCCGTGATCGTCTCTAGTAATACACCAGTTGGATCTAGTTGTCTCAACGCTTTAATAGCCGCAATATACGCTGTTAATATATCCGGGGTATTTACTCCTGGATGTAGAAGTCTTGTTTTAAGAGCCTCTTGAAGTGTTTCTATTAGCAGCTTCCGAAGATCCGTTCTCTCGAGGCATATGCGAAGATCATCGACCGCTGGTTGTGAGTCAGGGTATTCTGTGCGTTTAAAAAATTAAATATAATGTGCAAAGCGTTATGAAAGAATAGCAACAGAGATGAGCAGGAAGATGTTTCGCACCATTGTTTGAAAGTGAGGCACGTCCCGGATTGGGTAGAAATAATACGTCATGTAAAATACGTGGTTTTTTACGTGTAAATTACAACATATGATACGTCTCTAGTTCTCTACGTAAGCGCAAAGTATATTACGACCTACTTCTAAATAAAAAATAATAAATACAATTAGAAAATTGATATTAAACAGTGTTAAGGCGAAAGAATTTTGAATATAAGCGTCAAATTAATGTATTATTCCATAAAAATATTTATGTATTTACAAATGTGCAAAAAGACGTTCATAAGCGATCGGATGCCGCATATCGCACATCTGTAGCATCCTTCATACTGGAAACGTAATTTACTGGTGTTCTACGATAAGCTACTTGGTTTACGTAATATATGTCAAAAAGCATGTAGTTTATCATTGAAAATCGTAGAAAATTAGTAAATTACGTTTCCAATGTGAAGGATGTCGCAGATATACGATTAACGGCATCCGCTAGATTATGAATGTCTTTTATTTGTAAACACGGAAATATTTTTAAAGAATAATAAATGAATTTGGCGCTTGTGTTCAAAATTGTTTAGAATTTTACGTTTCCAATATGGCGGTTGCCTTAGATGCATGATATATGTATCCAATGGGTTATAAACGTCTTTTATCGCACATGTAAATACGTAAACATGTTTAAGGACTAATTCATTTGACACTTACGTTCAAAATTCTTTCAATTTAACACTGTTTAATATTCATTTTCTAATTGGAAATAGGAAGGTGTAATATACTTTACGCTCATGTAAAACACTAGAGACGTGTTATACGTTGTAATATACACGTAGAAAACCGCGTATATTACATGACGTATTATATCTACCCAACCCTGTATGCCTCAATTTCGACAATGAAGTGACACATCTTCCCGCTCAACTTTGATAGAGATTACAAGAAGTTCGTAATTACCGATAATAATATTGAATAACTGTTCGATTCTAATCCTTGTATACACTTCGTATAGGTAATGCGACAATTTTTGCTTGAATCTATTTATCGCTGCCCGAACTGCACTGCATAATGTCATTGATTTAGATGATCCTCCGGAATAAATTCTCGTCAGCCAACTTAAAACGACGGTTTCGAGCCACTGAACAAAAATTAAGATTGCACAAAAAATACCAGAATATTTAAAAAATAGTAATACCGTGTTTCCAATTATTTGAAGACGCTAACGCTCTTACCACGCAGAACACTGATATACTCGTACAATTTTCATTCTTTCACTCTATATCAAAACAAGGTTTAAATAGCAAAAATAGGATTTTTTCTGAATTAACTATCGACCCGTCTATAAAAGTGGCAATCTTGAAACGCCTACCATCGCCTAGGAAACGATTCGATCTCTTTGTTCGACTCAAGAAGCAAAAGCGAACGACTGACAATAAGTCAAAAAAATTTTGTTAAAAAACCTAAAGTTTGAAAGTGTCAGGATAATTTGTAGGTCCTTTGCGGGTTATATGACAAAGTTTCAGACAGTTCGGTCCAATATCCTTATGGTGAAGTGAAACACGTCGAGAACTTGATCTACATCGGTAACAAAGTTTTTTTTAAATACCTACGTTGCCGACGATCGTTTTTATATTGACAACTGTGTCGCGTTATATTGAGTATTGTACTAAATGGCATGCTCCAATTGTCGTTTTCGTCCAATAATTGTAAAGAAATCGAAGTAAAACTCCAGGAACCCTTTGAATTCATGGTTTCTGAGGCCTTTTTTGACTGCAAAGTGACACCTTACGTCATCTGTGATTTCCGTGTCAACTAAATTTTCACTCCGAAACCTCGTACCATCGTTTTAGCATAAAATACTTTTCTGCTCTTATCCGGCTCAAATGCGAGTATATCGATTTCCAGAGTGCGCTAAATTGTCGTATAATTGTCCTGACACTTTCTTTTCTTATATTAGGCCTTCAATAATTGTATATTGATCGAAATATGAGAGCTCGACGCCATTTTGGTTCTGTTCTGGGCTAAGTTAACAAATTTCTTTTCAAAAATCCAAATTTGGAAAGTGTCAGGATAATTCCTAAATGCTCACCCGTCATGTGTCAATGCTTCAAACAGTTCGAAACCATACCCGTAACTTCTCCCCAAAAAAAAAAAACCACCTCCGTGTAAAAAAACATTGCCAAGTACAGGATCGCGGCGAATATCATTGACAAAAATCACTGTCTCTGTCCTACATTAAGTTTCTGCAAAAAAATTACTGAAATCATATCACAATACCAAGTACGTACGTCACTTAGCTCTTTGAGGGTCGTAATTAAAACACCGGTACAAGCAATTATTTGTAATCTAATCGTCACTTACTAATATGTTAAATGCTAAGTGATTCCTTATCGAAGACTACTTGGCGGGTTCATCAAATTTCTCGACGTGTTTCACTTCATCTTAAATGTCAATAATTAATTAACACGATGACACATCTGCACTAATGAAAACATTTAAGTAAATTTCTCTCAATACTAACACCCAAATTGTCTCCTCCATTTCCACGTAGAAAGGTAATTTAAAAAATGTGAAAATTACGGAAATATGTTCTCGTGTAACCGTGATTACTTACATGTTCCAGTGGAAGTAGTTGCGACTGATCGAATGATTTGCTGCATAATTTCTTCACGTGGTCTTTGATACGAAGATGTATTAAATTTGTCAATACGTTGCCAACTAATCGTTCTAGTAATTCCAGTTCAATTAACTTTCTATTCGTTTCGTGAAACATGTATACTATAATTTGGCACTGACAATTTTCTGTTTTGTAGTTGCAGCCTCCACATTGAGAACCATCCGTTTGAGAAGTATCTTAAACAAACAATTATAACATATACTTGATCTTCAAGTCTGTCTCTCACGTTATAACTATTACATGTCAAAGCAGTCGTACTTTAAGGAGAAGTAAAACCTGCCTGAAATTAGTCAGTTCGAACAAGACACATTTTCAAAAAGTATTGCATCGAAGCAGTCTGAACTCTTAAAGTGAAGTGCAACACGTCGAGAAATTTGGTCGACGTCGATAAAAAAGATTCTTCTAAATACCTACGTTACCGACGTTCGTATCTACATTAACAACTGTGTCAAATTATATTGGGTGTTGTACTAAATGGCATACTCCATATGCCGTTTCCGTGCAATAATTACAATGAAATCGACGTAAAACTCCAGAAATTCCCTAAATTCATGGTTTTTGATGCCCTAATTGAGTGAAGAGTGCCACCCTGCGCCATATGATTTCAGTGCCAACTCAATTTTCTCTCCGAAATCTCGCGTTATCAGACTTTTAGCATAGAAGCGCATAAGACACTTCTGTGCCTGTTTTCCGTTCAAATGCGAGTTTATCGATTACCAGAGTATTTTAAATCGTTGTACAATTGTCCTGACACTTTAGTTTCTCATCCCAGAGCCTTCAATAATTGTATGTTGATCGAAATATGTTAGCTTGACGCCAATTTGTCATCTAAGCTAAGTAAACAAATTTTGTTAAAAAATCCAAATTTTGTGAGTGTCAAGATAAGTGTTAGGTGTTCATGAATCGTATGTCAAACTTTCAGACGGTTCAGTCCCATACCCTTAAGAAATAGCGTCTTAATCGAATCGACTGATTTGAAAAGGATTTCACTTCATCTTAAGGTGATGCGAAAGTGGCATCAAAGAGGTCTCGTTCGTGAAACTTTTCTCCAAACTAGGTGTACCGAATCATTTCAAACTTGACAATTGTGAATATGGAAGTTTTAAGGACGGTCCTGACACTCATAAAATTTCCATTTTTTTAAATTTGTTTATAGATATTTTCATAATTTCTTATAAAAAAGGAAATTTCATGAGTGTCAGGACCTTCCTTATAGTCTTCATCACCACGTTGTAAAGTTTGAAACGATTCGGTACACCCTGTTCGTAGAAAAGGTTCATGAACAATTGACTTTTCCGATGCCACTTTCACATCCCCGTAACCCTTTCGTTACAAGCGCCGGATATAGACAGCATCCACCCGATGACCCGATGACCGTGTGTACGAGCGCCGGTTATAGTCGACGTCAGCGCCACCAATGTACCGACGTGCAATATGCACACTTTTCGGCGCGGTGCTCCGTTTAGTGGCGTTACTCCGGCGGAGCGGATTGCCGTAACGAAAGGATTAAAGACAGTTTATAAACGAGTGCGTATGTATTACGTGCATGAAATAATTGTCACTTTACCATGAGTTATGTTGTCAGAGTTACAAAATACATTGAAAGCGATTTTATAAAAATATTCGACTATAACTTCATGATTCAATGGCAGCTGACTCAGCAATGCTGACCTAACAAGAAGTTTGAACTTCGAAAGCACGTCGCTGGAAGTAATAGAGGGTTCGCGACTTTGCATCAGTACTTCCAAACGCCTCATCAGTGGCAAAAATTCAGTCAAACTGCTGTATAAGCCATCAACGGCTTTTCTAAAATGTTCAAAGCTGCGCTCAGGTGTATTTTGCACAAACTGCTGCCAAAATATTGGTGCAACGACTTGATTAATGTACTGTTCGATACTATAGATGACCATTTCTTCTACAGATGCATTTATTTTCAGATTCTTTATTTCCTCCAATATTTTCGTAAATTCGTCATCGCTATTGCTACACCGAACCTGTCAAATAGAAATGAAATTTATGATTATTTGCTACATTCAATAACTTGTTGCCATAATGAATTCATACCTACTGTAAAACATGTAATAATATATAATTATTCACTCGTCAGAAATAATTGGAAATTATAAAACAAACAAATTTTTAATCGCTAAAATGTTATTGGAAATCGCAAATATTACAAGAAACAGTTGGAAATAGATGACACGTTGCAGGAAATCGCTATGGAGGCTACTAGAAATTGTTGGAAATTGCTGAAACTTTATTGTTGGAAATCATGTACTACAGTATGACATTGCCATTTATCATATGACATCGATCGCAATAAGTTTCAAACAATAAAATAATTTTATCCAATTTCCAAGCGAATATCCCCTTAAACCAAAATCATATATTTTTTAAATGCATTCCTTGCACCAAATATTATTATTTACAGAAACGATGGTATACTTCTGTCATTACTATAATATATTTCTCAAGAAAAAAATAATGGACCCTTTCATTACCTCCTTTTTGTTTTAACTCATAATTTAGCTATGAATATAAGTTACAATGTAATAAGTGATCAAGGTTTCTGTAACATGTTTGAAAAAACATTGTTCATATATCGATAAATGTACATAAGACTTTTTTTAAGAAGTTACTTAAATTTTGCAAGATGATAGTGGTGATATCTGTTTTACGTCAACACTTACGATGATAGCTATTACTCGTGTAATATAATCTTATACAACCATAAAATATTAAACCATGATCAGCTTAATAAATCGAGTTATAAACCACTTACTATTTTAAATGCCACTGGTTAAATATTAGTTCCAAATGTAATGTCATCGCATTATATACCATTATATTAAACAAAGTGAGTACAGTGAAATAAATTTCCTAGCTTAACTTTATTCCAACACAAACAAAACATATTATGACAAGTTTCCCATCAAATCAATTAAGTTAAAATTGTGAGATTTTCATCTACTTTCGACATAAACAATCCCTGAAGTCGAAACAAAAAAGATTATACATAATAATAGCGTATAGTAAAAGTAACCTTGTTGTTGATAATGGGAAAGGCAAACTGAATTCGTGACAATAGATCAGTCATTTTTCTAAATCAAATGTGTTCACCGGCCCGAATGAGGAAAACAGTATAATCCATGAATTCAAACATCAAAGAGACTTGAAGAGACTACTATCAGAGATGAGTTGGGAGATTGCTCACGGGCAGGGTCGCGCGATCGCATCGCGTGCTGCCCTCTGGTTTCGTACGTTAGCTTTCACCGTTTTTTGCCGACAAGGGCGGCGCAACGAATTTCTCGTAGGGGCTCGCACACTTGTGGCGGGCCCGGGACGAAGTCCGGCCATCGACCACCAGGGGCGTAGCGCGCGTCGAGCGCGATGCGATCAGGACGGCGTAAACTGCGTTACCCCGCGTGCAGATTACTTTACTTACCTCGAACCAAAAGACGACTACGTCGGAAAATGTTTAAAAAACGGTTGAAAATCGATTAGAAGACTTTGTGACCAATTCTAGAGCGCACGTGGAAATCCGCTCCTTTTGCTATGTTAATAAAGCAATAATTATAAATAAAGTGGTGAAATATATTTGACAATCCCCACACACTCGCGATGGCTGTGCCATCTACCAGTTGCCGTTGGCGGCTCACGTATTCGAGATGGTATTACCATGCGGCAGTTGACGGTGGCGGCTTACCATTATGGCAATCTCCCAACTCATCTCTGCCAAATCAGAGATGAGTTGAGCGATTCACGGGAAGGATCGAGCGACCGCGTCCTATGCGACCTCCGGTGGAGGATGCAGACGGCTAATGCACTTGCCACCTGTTACAACTCTGGGCATCCCCATCAAGCTGAAAAAGTGAAGAACTCCTCACAAAAACTCCAAAACCCTATATCTCTTCCGAAAAAAATCGCAGCCACTAGCTCGAGAAATCAATTTAAGCAGAACAACCTTCCCCATCAAGCTGAAAAAGTGATGAACTCCTCATAAAAACTCCAAACCCTGTTTCCTCCGAAAAAAATCGCAGCCACTAGCTCGAGAGATCAATTTAAACCGAACAACCTTCCCGATCAAGCTACTGTGGACGCAGTTGGCATCGCGAAAAAAATTCACAAACACCCTTTAACATATTTTAAAATCTACCAAGTGCAGCAAGCTCGATTTCGATTAATTACCCATGATGATTTTACCAAAAATGGCTGCTTCCGGGTGATCCACCTAAACCTGCAAAGGGGCACAAAAGTACAGGTAAAACAGAACATTGAAGAAACACCAGGAAGTTGCCAGATTCTCTGAAGTGGCCCACCTAAAGCTGAAAGGGAACACAAAGGCACAAACGAAACCATTGGGAAAGCGAGAAAGAGATGGTGATTCAAGAGTTAATGACTTACTAAAGTTACCATTAAAATCAAGAATATTTCGCAGTGCATCGATCTTGTATAATTGACCCAGTAAAAATGTATTCAATTATACATTACTTGGCGTGACAAAAATCTAATAAATATATCTTGCTTAAATGCAGACTCGAGAAAATCTCATGAAAACGATAGTTCACCGTCTCTCCCCGTCAATCCAGACAGAAGGATATACAAAACATTAGAGGGACAACGTGGCGAAAAAAATGGATGACTGTCCATTCGAAAGAATGGAAGGCCATCGTAGTTGCCCTCTTCTTAAGGGGCCGCTTCGACATATAGCCTCTTCGACACTTGTAGTCTCTTCGGGCAGAGCCCCCTACGTCTCGAACTCTTGGCAATCCCCTGATTTTTCGATTTAAAAAAAAAAAATACTCCTCCTACAGATTCAAAAGCTATCAAAACGACGACCTGCGCTCCGAGGATGCGCAGTCCGTACGTATTGCACAATTATCCAGATTCCCAAGCGCGGTCTAATTAATTTGCATCTCTGAAAGAAACTTATCACGATCGCGGGCGTCCGGGAGTACGCTGAGCGAATAATTCACTTTCCAGACTAAAATGAATGACTCGCGGCAATCTAGACGTTTCTCGCCAAAGAAATTTCTCGGCTCCAGTACAATTCTTTTTTTTTTTTGTAAAGTTATTGTTTCGGCGGACGAAATAAGTAGTACCGAAAACCGCTTAAAATCGCCCAGAAACGCCTAGGAACGCCAGAAAACGCCAAAAACGATTTCGAACATCAAAAACGCGTATCTCCTCTGAAAAAAATCGCATCCACTCGCACGAGAGCTCAATTTGAAGATAAGAACCTTCCCCGTCGAGCTGCAGAAGTCGCAGTCGCGAAAAAAATTCCCCGGCGGCTGGGAACCCCGGAAAATGGCGAAAAACGCTCGCCAACGTGGTCGGCTCGAGCTGTCCTTGAAGTCAACCCCACTACTACGTGTATAGTCCCATTACACATTTTTTTCTTCCTAGAGAACTATTCTTATATATTTACGGAGTACAATAATTAAAGATAAATAATGCCAAACTTATAGCATGATTTTGCTATACAGAAATATACCATTCTGCCCACCTAGTGTATATATGTATATTACAACATATAATACGTCTCTAGTTTTCTACGGGAGCGCAAAGTATGTTACGCCCTTCTATTTCTAAATATAATATAATAAATCAAGGAAGAAGTTTGACATTAAGAAGGGTTAAATCGAAATATTTTAAACACAAACGTCGAATTAATTATTTCTTCGCAATTTTTTCATGTTTACATATATGCTGCAAGACGTTCATAATCTAGCGGATACATATACCATACATCTACAGCATCCGCCATATTGGAAACGTTAAATTTTTAACTAGTTTGAACGCAAGCACCGGCATAATTTATTTTTTCTTACAAACATTTACGTGTTTACATATGTGCTGAAAGAAGTTCATGACCTAGCAGAAACCGTATGTCGTCCGTCCATGACATTCTTGATATTGGAAACGTAATTCACTGGTTTTCTACGATTTTCGGTGGTAAACTGCTTTATTTACAATAATATACATCACAAACCTTGAAAAATGGGGAACCCTGAGTTAGAGCAGACAGGAAATGTGAAGCAAGTGACCTACCAATCAGGAGGCTGAAAAATGTGCCAACAATACACCCTCCCTTTCCGACGCGCAGGCTTCCCCTCTGGTCTGTACTGGGACTTTGGGCTCCGTCCATATATTCTTAGGTCCATGGTTGGATCCGATAAATCCTGGATTTCGAGTACGATGGAGACGTAGTCATTGAGTGCATGTACATATTTTTTCAATATTTTTTAACTTCGTTGTATGTAAAAGACTCAGTCATCTTGATGTAATACTTCGCAGACCTCTTTTGAATTATCCCCAGTATTAATTTTTCGGTATGCGTAACTTTATGAGAAGCGTTAACCTAAACAATATGAACATTAAAGATTGGACGCACTGTCCCAATTGAGATTATTTTTATGGGCACAAGTTGTTTACCTGGAAGTACATAATCAGAATTCTAACGAAGGACAAATCTGAACGTAAAACGTCAGTACATGGTAAATAATTAATTCCACAATTGAAAATGAAAATTACCAACTTACAAAGAAATTTTCTTTAATGGATTTTGGAGGAAAAAGAAAACCATGAAACGCAAACCTAAGTTCATTTGAGGAGAGATCTATTCGTGTCTGCAATATTTGCAATTCATGTAATTGGAAAAAGAAGAACATAAGGAATTCACAATGGCAGTCCTATTTTTACCATGTAGAAGATCGAGGAAGGATTTTTCGGATTGGTGTTATATCGTGGTTCTGCTAAGTATGGCAATGGTACTTCTCATTATATTAACCATTACGTATCGTTCCATCACTTTTGGAAATAGTCAACAAAATACATTTTACGCTGCTATAACATTGAACGATATCGAGTCGTTACCCACGGAAGTACTTCGTCCAGATTTGCCACTTGCAGATGCAACTAATTTATCTTGTACACATTTCAATTGTTTTAATGTGTATCATTGTGGAAGTCGAGGAAATAAGTTGTTGGTGTATGTATATCCGTTGAAAACCTATGTTGACGAAACCGGTAAACCTATAACGGGGCAGATGTCAAAGGAATTTTACCTTATATTAGAGGCAGTTGTCAACAGTGAATTTTATACTCCAAATCCACATGAAGCTTGCGTCTTCGTTCCGTCGATCGATACCCTTAATCGGAATCGACTGAGAGAAGAAGATATATCACGAGCTTTAAAGAAATTAGAATTCTGGAATAAGGGGAAGAATCATTTACTGTTTAATATGATTCCGGGCTTTGCTCCCAATTACAACTCCTTTCTTAATGTACCTATAGGAGAAGCGATGCTAGCTGGTGCTGGATTATCTTCCATGGTATATCGAACGGGCTTTGATATCAGTTTACCGGTGTACAGTACGTTGCTAATGGAAACAAATTTGAATAGCTTTGAAAAACGGAAATGGCTCTTGATATCTTCTCAAATCAATACGAAGTCTACATTCGAGCACGACTTGTTCGAACTTCAAACTTTATTCCCAAACGAGATCGCGGTACTCTGTCCTTGTTTGCATCATAATCCCATAAATTACAGCATTCGATGCATCGGAGAAGACGTGTACAAGTATCCAGATGTATTGCATCAAGGGAGCTTTTGCTTAATACTGGGTGGTGCACGTCTTGGTCAAAGCCTACTTCTAGAATCGCTGGCAACGGGTTGCATACCCGTTATAATTGCTGACTCGTTAATAATGCCGTTTCACGATGTCATCGAGTGGACGAAAGCTGCAGTGTTTATTCCTGAAGTGGATATTCTCTCGGTGGTAACGGTGTTAAAGAAAATATCTCCAAAACGAGTAACGGAGTTCCGTGAACAGGGTACTTGGCTGTACGAGCGGTATTTTAAAACTATTGAGAAGATTACTTTGACCACCCTTGAGATTCTTGCGGACAGAGTCTTCCCACATCTTGCCAGAGATTACATTTATTGGAACGAACTGAACAGAGTTGGCCACATGTCACCAATTTTTGTACCCGTGACAGCACCAAAAACCCGTGGATTCACTGCAGTAATCCTTACGTACGATCGAATTGAGCTGCTGTTCCTTTTGATCAATAAAATCGTGAAAGTTCCAAGCTTATCTAAAGTGCTCGTTATTTGGAACAATCAGCATAAAGATCCACCGCATCCGTCCAGTTGGCCAAAAGTGATGAAGCCACTAAAGGTCATTCAAACGAAAGAGAATAAGTTGTCCAATCGTTTCTACCCATACAGTGAAATCGAGACCGAAGCAATTTTGTCCATTGATGATGACATTATCATGTTGACCGTAGATGAAGTGGAATTTGCATACGAGGTTTGGAGAGAGTTTCCAGATCGAATCGTAGGATTTCCATCGCGCACCCACGCGTGGGACAATGTATCTAATTGTTGGAAGTACGAGAGCGAATGGACCAATCGAATTTCTATGGTGTTAACGGGTGCGGCGTTTCATCACAAATACTGGAGCTATATGTATACCACTGCTTTACCAGGAGACATCAAAAATTGGGTCGATGAGCACATGAATTGCGAGGACATTGCGATGAATTTTCTAGTCGCCAATTTGTCTGGGAAAGCTCCGATAAAAGTGACTCCAAAGAAAAAATTTCGCTGCCCAGAATGTACGAATACGGAAATGTTATCCGCAGATTTAACACACATGATAGAACGAACACAGTGCATAAATCGATTCTCTGCTATATACGGCTCAATGCCCTTGCAGTCTGTCGAATTTCGAGCCGATCCTGTTCTTTTCAAAGATGTCTTTCCCGAAAAGTTAAAGCGTTTTAACGATATTGGGAGTTTGTAATGTCTACTCCTTTATGTTGACTGTATTCCTTAGAAAGCAATACTTATACAATGGGAAACTGTTGATTGAAATACAGTTATGAAATTCCATGAAATATTTCTTACTAGATGATGAATGTTTTTAAATATATTTTGTATAATATTATTATAGGTTTCCATAGGTTCCTATACCATCTTCCATATTCTAGATTGCTATACAAGGGCCACGCCTAACAGTTGAAGTTATTTATCCACGAAAGTCAGTGATTTGGGAAGGTATAATACGTCATGTAGTGTACGTGGTTTCTACGTATTTACTACAATGTGTAATACGTCTCTAGTTTTCTACGCGAGTACTAAGTACATTACGCTCTTCTATTTCTTAATAAAAAATAACAGAACCAATTAGAAATTTGATATTAAATAGTATTAAGTCGAAAGAATTTTGAGCGCAAGAGCCAAATTAATTATTCCTTAAAAAGTGTTATTTATTTACATGTGCACTAAAAGACGTCATGCTCTGCGGCATCTGCCATATTGGAAACGTAACATTCTAAACAATTTTGAACGCGTGTTAAATTAATTTATTATTCCTTAAAAATATTGACGTTAAATTTGTTATGGACTTCGGGAATGACCCGCGTCCATTGTCGCCAAGGGGTGTTAGGTCGGGGATCGTAGATTGTTCATACTCTAATGTACCAACGGCGCCATCTGTGACGCTTAACTGTAATACAAATTTTGCAATCGTTCGTGAAAGTATTTTCTATATTTTCCCATCTGATTCTGTAATATTCCATTTTCTATAGTATTCTAAATTGTTCGAGCTAAATCCCGAAACTCTTCATTTTCTATTCCAAGTCTTCAAACAGCGTAAAACATGAAAAACATGAACGGACGACGGCATGTTGATTGTAGTCCATGGTGAATACAACATTTTTTATATAACAATTTCTTAAAACCTACTGTTCGAAGAGAAATGCGTTTATGTTCACGCAGATTGGTCAATCATTTGATACACGTGTTCATTCTGGTGCCTTTTTTAAACTAGAGACGTCTAGTGGAGCACATATTGCAAACTTCATGGAAGCCATCGTTCTGTATTCCAAAAAATTAATTTTACAATGCCTTTACTTCTTAACCGTAATTTAGTAATATATCGAAACATACGCCGTTCTTTGGATAAATAATGCAAGGATAAGTTGTATAATGATTTTTTATTTAACAATTTCCTTGCGATATAATCTGTCTTGACGTTTTTTCAGCAATCTATCGTGTGTCCTTTTCATTTCTAAAATCTCTTTCATCTCTTCCTTATCTGTTTCCTGTAATAAAAGGAAATAATTAGGAATATTCTAGGTTCAAAGGACGTCTCCAATGTTCTCGTAAACTGTGCAGTAAATGATTTATATTACTCATTTTCGTCCCCCACGTGACACAATAATTGTGTTATACAAGTTCCATTTAACATATACACTTGTCTCACCAGAAAATTAATTATTTTATTTGTCCTTCGGAAAAATGTAGACAGTCGTTTTTATCACCCTGTTCATAATTCGTTTTCACCCGTTAAATATTGAAATCGCTCCCCAGATTGCACACTGGCGTCAATATTATGTCAACAAATGGTCATCGGATATGTTACATGGATTTAGAAATCGTGTTTCAATGATTATTTGGTATTGCTTGTCTTAGGAGACTGTATTGAGGGTGCTTTGAATTTTGATGTGGAGGTCGGTTTCGGCTTACCGTGACTTTTGTCAGGATCGGTCACAGGCTGGCCTAAGGCCTTGGTGCCGGTTTTCACCTTCCGGTAACGACTACCAAATTCTAACTCCTCACAATACAAATCGCAACTCATTAGTTGCCCTTGCTGAGTAAAGCAAAGCGCACCTTGCAAGCAAAGAATCTCGTGTCAGCATTCCGCAATTGATTCGCGAATATATATCGTTACACTTCCGCGAGGCGCTAGTGCGCAGCTTCAAATGTCTTTGTCTCGTTTCGCGACGATCCGCTTAGCACAATATATCTTTTGCGCACCTTACCGCCATGGATATTGTACTCCTTGTATCACAAATAGAATTATTTTATTCAATATAAAACGACGACTTAATTCTCACGAAACCTTAAAAACCCTCCCGAGTCCTCATCACAACTTTCCAGTCACCTTTTGAGAACCAAAAACCTATCGATCCCACTAAAGCGGTTGATCTCGGATTATCATCTCCATATTTCTCAAATCATAAACCGATTACGCATGCGTACGAGTTAATTCTTCTACAATCACTATACCGCCCGGAGAGATGTATAAAATTCCCCTAGCCTCGCTAGCCACTCGGCCGCCTTATTTTGTGTATTTTTGTGAAATATTGTGGAAACATGACGACTTTAGATCGTCGAATGTTTATCATCACTAGAAAATAAGGTCACAGATGTCAGTGTGCTATCTGGAACGTCACATAGAAATTTTTCAATCATGAGGTCATATGAAAGTGGCATCTGAAGAGTTAATCGTTCATAAAACTTTTCTCTAAACTAGGTATACCGAATCGTTTCAAACCTTACCACACGAATGCGAAGCCTCTAAAGAAGGTCCTGACATCCATCACATTTCATTTTTTTTTATAAAACGTTAAATATATCTATGAACAAATTCAAATAAAAATTGAAATTTCTTGTTTGCCTGGACCTTCTTTACTCCCTTCATATTCACATTGTGAAGTTTGAAACGATTAGGTACACTCAACTCGAGAAAATATTTCACCAATGAGACCTCTTTATCGTCACTTTCATATCTCCTTGCAACAGATAATCATAGCTACAATCACAACTGTGACAACATTTGCTTAGTTTACCGATAGAGCCACCAACATTATTGATACATTATCCTTTGTAATTAAAAAGAAGTATTGCATATACCGATTGATTTAAACGAAGAACAAGGGCTCTTCGACCGCCAGACATTGGCTGTGAGTAGTCCATCAATTTTTTTAATCTTTCAGTAGGACTGACACCTCGTTCAACCACCAGAACTATTCGAGCCCACTGAAATAAAATTAATTATTTTAATATTACGATTTCATTTAATTTGCTAATAACAATGACAGAGATACATAGTTATGCAAACGAAAAACACGAAAATTGTGAAAATTAGTGAAATAAGATAATATTTTTTAAATTATTTCTACAAGTGCTACAGCAGACGTCAGGATTAATTTACGGTGATTATCTTTCGATGAGTGCAAGGAAATGTGAGACCCTATCTGGCTCTTTCGGGTGATATGAAAGGGACATTCTATGTATATACAACGTCAAAAGATTTATAAAACTTTTCTCCAGACGGGGTGCATCGAATCATTTGAAACTTCAGCATGTGATTATGGAGGCCCTAAGAAAAAACGTAGTGCACATAAAATTTTATTTTTAATAAAAAAAATATTTTTTTATCCCAGACTAGAATCAAGAATACATATATTTTTTGAAAAATGAAATTTCATGAGCACCACGTTCTTCCTTAGAACCTCCATAATGACGTACTGGAGTTTCAAATAATTTGATACACCCAGTTTGGAGAAAAGTTTTAAAAATATTTTGATGTTTTATATATGTAGAGTGATTCTTTCACATCACCTTAAGCTTAACAGCTCGAATATTCCAAAAATTCTGTAGTCCCTCTAGCCATTCGGTCGCCACGTAACATAACAAAAGGAATCCACAGTAATTCTCTGTATTGGATTACGTTTTCTACGTGCAACTCTATTTAAACGTGTGCATTTCATTACGTAAATTGTTATTTATTAAGTGATCTGCGTAGTATTAGGTTGTTCCGAAAGTGTTTTTCGCCATCTGCACGAAGCTGCTGTATCTAGTAGACGAAAGAAACTTTTAGGACAACCTAACATAAACTCACCTGTCGTTGCCATTCGTTTCTCGTCTCCGCAATTTTTTGGTACGTATTTCCCATCATGGCAATCAACATGTTTACCAACAGAATAGCTACTATTGCCATATATAACACAAATAGAACCTGTAACAGATGAGTTATAACGTCTCATATTCAGATAAATAATTCATTGTTGCACTTTACGTTGTGAATTATACGGAATAGCATGCTTTGTACGTCAGTTCGATAGAATGATTATGAAGAGATCGAAGTAAAACTAGAAATTCCCTGAATTCGTGATTTTCTTTTGTCTATATATCATATTTTCCGACGTTTACCTTGGCTTCCAGTTCATGTGCCGTACGTTCAAATGTACTATAGTAATCCCCAAAGTTCGTCATACTCATAAGAAACATCGCCATTACACTTTCCATGGGTGACGGCATTGGATTAGTAACGGAATCGTCGACTCCCTCCGGTGTATCGGGATTATCAAAAGACAGAAATATAATGTAATAAGCTGAAAGATAACGATATATATTACACCGGTGATGAAATCCTACCATTTAATATCCTGAAGTACTGCTTTATCTATACATTAACTTGACTTTATTTGAACTTCCAAATAAATTCGTATGCTGTTGCGGTATGCAATTATCAACTATAAGAAATATCGCAAATAAATTTAACCGTCGCGAATTCGAGTATGTATCTGGTATTTTCTAGCAAATCGTTTTAATTTAAAGGTTTATAAGACGCAAGCATGAGAGTGGAGCGACCAGAAATTGGGCATAAATAATCAATATCAATTGTTTGGAACATCACTATTGATACCTGTATACTAAGGACACTATCTAAGACTCTTTTTGTTTCGACGATTAAATTTTAGAATAATTTAATCACGCCGAAATATAATAAATTTATCTTACCTTGTGAAAATCCCATGACAAAGACCAGGTATATTGACACAAATCTAAGTAAATCACCCATGATCATTCTATAAATCATTACAACAAAAGGACCAACTGTTTTAAATCCTCTGCAAAAAAATAAAAAATACGGTGCCGTTGTTAACATTACAACAACGGCTAACATGTCCTCGACCTCATCTGCGCACACCAGTCTCAAAAATGGAAATGACAGTAAAATGCAACACGAGAATAGGAACATCACTCGAGACGGTGCAGTCATCTGTAACAAAATTTTCAACTATTCGCATCGCACGGAACTAGTATATATAAGTATTCTATTTAACAAAAATCAGAAATTTCTCAATTAATAGTAATAGGAAAAGATTCCTTATACGGGATTTAAACGCCCGAGATAATAACATTCTGTTAGCGAGCCTTATTCAAGACCAAGACCAATTTTGTTCATTACTACACATTACGTTACTGTCACAACATACCACTACACGATGAAAAACATTACGGTAAAAATGTTAAGAAATCTAATTTTCATCAGGACAGGCAGCGGGATATCCGTAAGGAAGGCATTCATGTCCGTCAGTGTACACAAGCAAAACACCCAGAGACTCAAAAACTGGAAAATACAAGACGGACAACTATACTTCTAAAGTCCGACCATCTTGTATAGCGATATTCTCCCAAACGCTAAAGTATGGAAACTAACACCAATGAACAGTACTGCAAGAAAACCAATCGCTCCAATAATTAGGACATTCGGGCATCAAAAAAGAGGTATTCTAAAATCACAAAATTACCACTGGCCAAGAACATATAGAGACACCGTAGAATGCGGCACATTCAAAAGAATAACAACTACCAAAAAGCAAAATAAGGCGACGCAGTTGCAGAACCGTGGACATTCCCAGCATCGGATGTCATAGGCCTAATCGAGAAACTCGCATTCGAACGAGATAAAGGTAGGAGAAGGAAATTTAGTTGGCACTGAATTCACAGATAGCGCAGGGTGGCACTTTGCAGACAATTAGCTATTAAAAACCGTGAATCCAGGACATTTCTGGTATTTTACTACGATTTCTTCATTGTTATTGTACGGAAACGTCATATGGAGTGTACAGTTTACTACAATACCCAATCTAATTCGACACGGCTGTTAATGTAAATACGACCGTCAGCATCGTAGGTATTTAGAAGAATCTTTTTTACCGACGTTGATTAAATTTCTCGACGTGATTAATTTCACCCTAGCTCGGCGGCCGCGGTGGCACCGAGGGGCCGAACGGGGTAGGCAAGTGGAGAGGGAAAAATCCCGCTGTGGGATTTTTGGAGGGGACAGTCGTGCGACATTACTGGCAGCACTGAGAGCGGCTGAGAGAAGGAAAGTACAGGTAACCCTCCTATAACACGGTATCTTATAACACGATTCGTAAATTGCGGGAACCCTCCTACAACACGACATCCTATAACACGGTTTCGCTATAACGAGTCATTTTTTTTTAATACAGACCCTTCCACGGAAAGAAGTCGAAAATTCAAAAGGGAGCTGCAAAACTGTTTATCTCCATACCGCGAAATTTACAATGACCTAGTAAAAACCAGCAAGCAAAGTTCGATTACAGATTTTTTCAAGAGGGGAAAACATACAAAAACTTTAAATACAGAAAAAAGTTCTGAAAGTGAAGGGGATATCGGTTCCACCGAGAAAACGTTCTCGGTTGATTATACTGAGCAGTGACGACGAATAAATTCATTAAATTATGGTTGCATTAGATTAAAATATTTTTTTTTATACTTTGGGTTGTACATACATTTATATTTTTAATAAAAATTAAGTTGTTTATGTCGAATTAAAAGAAATATTTGTTTTTAATAAGTTTTTGGAACGTAACCCCCCTTTTTATACTAGCTCTGGTTCTCATGCAACACGGTTTCACACAACACGGCATTTTCTAGGAACCTAACTACCGTGTTATAGGAGGGTTACCTGTACCGCGTTGCAAAACGCACTCATCTTACCAGGTTTTCGATGAACATGTTAAGTCCAAGGAATCTCGCTTCGCGAAGAGCCGCAGCAATGTATAGAATTGCACCAACTTCCATCAAAATTTCTGTAGTCAAACGTATTGTCGTCACCGTACTCGTAAGCTGCATCAGTCTGCATCCTTCGGTGTTATCATCCCAACTGTAAATTGTAAAACAACGTTAAATCTGACCGCTACCTTGTTTTATATCATTTTACACATTCCACTAAGAACGTGTATTTCACGAGAAAAATCATAGTTCAGAAACGGGCTTTTGTAACATACAACAATTCAATATCGAGATTGCCATTTCAATACCTACCTGCTGATGAAAAAAGCCATTCAAAAATTCGATGTTTGCATAGAAGACCTCAAAATAAAGCATTTCTTTGAAAAAGGAAACAAATACAAGAAGGAAAAGAAACTCTTACGACTAAGTGATACATTGCCCAAAATACGTGAAAACAGAAAGGAAAGTTTAAATCTAAATTGATAATATCAGATAGTGATTAATAATCTAGGTAATAGAAACCACAAATCTAGATAAAAACCCAAATTAATGTCGGATCGAGGACGCTTATGTAGAACTACATACGCGATGTCATTGCTGCTATTTAGGGAAATTACGGGTGGCTCGATGTTCTCCGGTATGTCAGTGCTTTCCTCGTAATTTTTATTTTCATTATCGGTATGATGGTTGACAATTACATTCCTTTTATTAATTGAGGCATGTATAAGTCCAAGTGGAATTTCTGTTGAATTTATATATGTGCATTCCCGTAGCGTTGAATGCAAAAGTGTTTCCACAATTGATGTTATGTTCGTTGAAATATTAAACATTTTATTTTCCATCCAAGTCAGCGATAAATTCGAAGATAGTATCATATTTTTTTCAAAAAGTGCAGCAAACTTTTTATTTGTATTTGAATCGCATATTGCTTCCAGTAATCTCAGAAGTAAAGCCGTGGGACTAATTGACGACTCTGGTACCGCTGTTCGCGCTGTTCCTTGGGTTGTTACATAAGACGATGCGTTGCCGGTCATTTGAGTTTTTGGACCAGGCCGTAGAGTGAAACTGATCAATGACAGGACAAAGTAGAAGCAAAAGCAGAAAAACTGACGATAAAACCTATAGACAAAAAATTGTTCAAGTGAAACTTCTTATGCCACGATTGTGTACGTATGCTAAGAAACGGGAGCGTATCGAAATGGAAAACATTTTTTTCTTATAGTAAAGTAAATTAACTAACATTTTTACTACAGTTGAATGGGCCATTTCCATTTTCTAAAGTGATATCGTCATGTATTAAGTATAGCAATGGATACGTACATTTTTTAAAAGTATTATTACCTCGATTTTACGAAAGTATTCCATTTTGCATTTAATAGGTCCACTAGCATACCATCCATAAGTTCTAGATGTTCATCTTTATCCTGCAATAAAGTACATTCGGAAATAACTCAAACCAAAGATTGTCATTAAGTGATCTTGTGGGGTAAATATAAAACTGCTAATATTTTTCAATGGAATTATGAAAACATGAACTTTGCGTTTGATAAATTTATTATTATAAATTACAGAATCTTTCTAAAGTATCTGAAATTGGTTGTTTTTTTAAAAAAACATCTAAAGTAGTGAAATCTAAGAACTCGTATTTCATTTATTACTTGTTACCGTTTTGTGGCAGATTTAAAAATTTTCCTCGCGCACGTCCCGTGGGGCCAAGTGGCTCCCGTCCTTTGGTATCGTGCCGGCGGGATCCCGAAGTCGGCGTATTAAATGTCATTATTGTAATTCCGCCTTTGTGATTCGCCCGGGAAATAAAGAGACTGAGTGGCCCTTTCTCGTCCGCGACGTCGGCCTTGCCCTCGCCGAGAATCCACGGACCGCGGTGCACTTTCCGCGCCTGGCGCCCAAGAATACAGGTAGCCCTCCTACAACACGGTTTCGCTCTAACACGCTAGGATAAATTGCGGGAACCCTCGTATAGCACTGCACCCTATAACACTGTTTCGCTCTAACACGATAAGAAAATTGCGAAAACCTTTGTACAACACTGTATTCCTACAGCACTGGGTAATATGATTTTTAACATATTTAAAAACTAAATTACCTTTAAGTAATGGCGGGAAGGAATATTAAACTGTAGTGCCTTTACATCCTATAACACGGTTTCGCTATAACGAGTCATTTTTCTTGAATACAGACCCTTCCACGGAAAGAAGTCGAAAATTCAAAAGGGAGCTGCAAANAAAAAAAAAATGTTTGTTTTTAATAGGTTTTCGGAACGTAATCCCTCTTTTTTGTCCTGGCTCTGAGTCTCATATAACACGGTTTCACCCAACACGGCATTTTCTAGGAACCTATTTACCGTGTTGTAAGAGGGTTACCTGTAAATCAAGCGGCCCTGCGGCTGTCGGGAGAGGCGATCCACCTGCGGACCCCGGTCCTTTCCCCCGGTTCGTCAGCGCGCCCAAAAGTTTAGAGCAAAACGCGTTGCAGTTTCAATGAAATATAAAGATGGATGTTGAACTCACCCCAAACACAACTAAGTTGAGAGCAGAATTGTTGCTAATTCTTCCAGTATTCTCGTCAATTGTGTCAATTTGAGACAACGGATAAGCTGCACATGTTATACTTCCAATTTGCCAATATATCTCCCGTTCGATATTGAGGATATGGAAAAACATCTCAATTTTAGCTAATTTTGCTGATAACGTTAACGGCGTTAAGTGTTGAACATTTCTGATGTCAAGTGACGCTCCGACTTCGTAGGCCATATCAAATGTTGTCTGCAGAACACATTATGTTTATAATTCACTAGTTATTCGTAATATATTATCACTTAGAATCAATAAATATGTTGTTAATCCATGTTAAGGTGAAGGGAAAAACGTCGACAAATTTAATTGACGTTGGTAAAAAAAGATTCGACGTTATCGATATTTATATTTATATTGGCATCTGAGTCGTACCATGTTGGGTACTGTACGGAGTAATAAACTCCACATATCGTTTCGGTAGAATAATTATAAAGAGATGGAAGTAAATCTCAAAAAACCCCTCGGACTTGTGAACTACGGCGTCCTCTGTTGCATTTAACGGCATCTAAATTTTGACTAACAAGGGAACGTTCCCAAGTGTCCACCTCCGATCTCATTGAGTTTCATATATGTTGAAGAACACAAAAATCTAAGAGACACGTGTTTTTTTATAATATATCTGCAATGGTCCACAATTAAGGGGTGAAACAACCCCCAGTGGAACTTAAGTAGGAGTGCTCGTTTAATGGATATTACAAAAAAATGTCGCCTGAAGGGTAGTTCACCTCGTTGAGGGGGTGCAACATTGCTGAACAATATTGTGTTGTCACCGTCCTTATACAGAATACGCTTATGCAAAGTTTCGTCGAAATCCCTCCATTGCTCCTACGAAAAATATTTAAAAAACCGATTTTTCGCTAAACTTTGGGAGGTTGTTTCACCCCTTAATTGTGGACCATTGCAGATATAAAAAAACACGTGTCTCTTAGATTTTTGTGTTCTTCAACATATATGAAACTCATTAAGATCGGAGGCGGACACTTGGGAATGTTCCCTTGTAAGACAAAGTGTGACCCACGAAGTAAGTCAGCAATTTCTTACAATCGACTAGGAAACTTTTTTCAATATTTTTCCATCTAACTCTATAATATTTTAATACTGTGGTATTCCTAATTGTCATAGCTTAGTCCTGAAAGTGTATTCGATTCTCAGGCTTTAAAATGCGTTGAATATCCAAAATGTATGTGCATCGCTATGTTGGTTCTACTCCATGATAGATAAATAAAAATTAGTAGAAAAAATAAAACTTCATGGATGTCTGTACTTTTTATAGGGCCTCCGAATTCATGTAGTAAAATTTCAAACGAATCGATACGCTCAGTTTGGAGAAATGTTTCATATACGCGATCCCTGAGATGCCATTTTCACGTCACCTTAAAAGGTGTCTAATGTTGTCTTTTAAAAGGACGTACTGGCCGTCTAACGGAAATAAAATGTTCGTTAGTGCAATGATCACAGTAAAAAGACGAAGCACTAGTTGAGACCCGTGAACGTGTGCTCGCTGAGACAACACCGCGTTTTTCTAAATAAATATCATCACCTTCTCCAATGCAATCGTTTTAGAATTTATTTTCATTACGCCGTTAAAAAAATTGTTCCGTAGTAAATTATGGACATGAGAATGTATAGACGGAGTTCAAAGTCTTATGTTAGACCAGGGAGGGGGGGGGGGGGGGGGGGGGGGGGGGCTGCGCGTAGGAAAAGGAGGGGTAGGACGGCCATATTGGTTAGCCGATTTTTTAGCCTCCTGATCGATAGATCATCTTATTGGATATTTCCTAGTTACTCTAGCTTATTTCTTTTTACCACTCCTCTACGTAAAACATAATTTTTACAATTCCTCATCCTACAAGTGGCATATTGTACTTTGTTCATTATTTATCTATTCATAGTACGCATCGTTCTTTCCTCGCTATTCCTCTATTAAAGTGACAACTAAATCTCAGCCAATCAGGAGACTAATTGTAAGAGTTTGGCTATCTTCTCATTGTTCCTACGTATTCCCCCCTTATTTATTCCGGCACTCCCTATGGTTTGGGCTCTACCCATATATTCTTACGTCCATGCATTAAACCAATAATTGTATTTAAATACACACGAGCTTCTGATAAATAACCAGCATGTGCAGGACCGTATTTCCATTGGTGTCTTGCTTATCGGGATCTGCCCCTCTGGCAAGAATTAAACGGTAGCATTCCTCTTGATTTAAACAAGCGGCAAAACTTAAAGGATATTCACCCCAGTATACATATCTGTAACAAGAATTTTACCTTAGGGGGTTACATTACTTTGATACCTAAAAAACAACAATTTTGGTGAAGCTTTTTTCTAGAAAATAACAAATAAAATATCTATCAATGAATATTTATTGTACAATTATTAAATACAAGAAAGATATTCTTTTAGTAGGAAATGATGTCACGGGATTCGTCCACGTAAGTGTCCTTTTTTAAAGCGCCAAGTCGGCGTATAGGATAACTCATAAAGCATCAGAGACCTGAATAAACAATCATAACTTCCCATTTTGTGACATTTTTTAAAGTAATATGTAGGCATCTTGCGATATATTCACTGATTTTTATATGGATATTTTTACGCTCAGTTTTTAGGTAAACAATGGTATTTTTTTCAAATATTCACCACTTTCATAAGAAGAAACATATTTTAACAATCTCTGCATATTTCGTTAGTAAATATCCATGATAAGTTCTCTGAATAGAGAAATAAATATTTGTCAAACTGAAGTACCGAACTTTGGCTTTATGTATTCGGTGCCGTTCACGCATGCTTCTTATGTAATTGACGCGAAACTCTACCGAGTTTCCTGATCGGATAAAAAATGAAACAATAAAATCGATAATAATGACCAATAAATCAGAAATGAGAAATAATCCAGGATCTTTCGATTTCAAATGTCGGCAACTGTCACCAATTTCAGGGATCACTATGGGTTGTGCATAAAACATCTCTGCCATTCATGACTAACGAATAAATGGTTTACTGCGTTATCGCATTATTGTATTATATTTTTGAATGAATTTGCATTGTTACATACCCATCGTAATTCGTCTCTGGAGCAACAGATACCCATTCGTGTTCTATGCTATCGGTTCGAGATGCTTTTTGATCTTCCGGACACATAAAATTACCAAAGCATCGTTCATGAACGTCGGCATCGCTATCAAGTAAAAATTTCACCATAGCTGGATCTTCGTTTACAATCGCGATATGTAGAACATTTTCACCTGTAAATGAAATTAGATGCGAACTCCTTTGAAATGGTTCCATTTTTTAATGGAAATCAATGTCTGCCCTGCTGAAGCGAACTTCAACGTTTACGAAACGTCGGTTTTTCGTTCACGGGAAAAAATAATGATCAGGAAAACCGTAATTGTAACCGTAAGGCCGTTTGCACGCGTATTGGCAAAACCGGAGCCGACATCCGCACCGGGTATGATAATTTTCATGCCGTTATGCCGTAGGGAGAGTCGAGAAAACACATTTTTCTTCCTTTTTACTAAACTATCGAGGAATATCTGCTCCTGACTCAACCCAAGAGACTAACTCCTCTTCTTCACTTGTCCGTGTCTACATCCTGGTATGTCTTCCACCTCCTTTTACATTGTTGCAACGTAAAGAATTCCCATGGGACTCCGATGGACCTATCATTTGGTAGACTTCTCACGAACGTAGCTGCTGACCTTATGGGTTCTCACGGGAGATATAATCCGAACCATAACAATACGCACCGGCAAAATCGGAGCCGGTGTCGGCTCTGATGAACGAAAGCAAAGAACAGCTCATCGACAGGCGTGTGCAAATCCACATAAGATTACATAAGAATCGGCATGCGGGGCGCTATTCTGGTATCCGGTTTGCCGAGTTCAAATGCTGATCAGGCGCGCTGGACGGCCGGACCGGCAACTAAGCCGGAACAGAGATTAGCGGATTATGCGTGCAAGCTCCAATTTATTTACCTTGCATCCGGGGAAAACGTCGGCGCTTGTTTTGTCGGTACGTGAGCAAACGGCCTAACCCTACTGCGAGGCAACACATGGGACAACCTTCGTAGGAGGTCGCAGTAACCAACGTAACACAGTAAAAAGAACATAGAAAGGGTGACCTCACCATTTAGTCAATGTAACTACAAGGAACGAGTTGTCCCAACATTATGCACAGTTGTTAATGCCTATTTCGAAATTTACCGTCGACATGCAAAATTTGATTTTTATGATTACGTACGTTACGATGCGCACTTGTGTTCGATATAATTATGTAATTATTTCGTTTATTACAGATTATGGTCACGATATAAGAAATTAAATTTTACCGTAGTATTCGTCACTGATGTATATGTCATTAATAAGCTTAGGATAAAAGCGCAGTAGACGTTTGGCTAGGTCCGCATGAATTGCAGTTGCATTTAACATGCACAGATGTAAAATTGTCTCTCCTACGGCGCCTCGTTCGTTCAGACTCCAACAGACTTCTCTGTATTTACTTTTATCTATAAGCAAACACATTGTTCCGAAGTCATTGGCATCAAGTTTTACGCGATATGTCACGGATATAATAAAGCTTCTTAACGGTACCAACGTATACGGCTCAAAACCGAAAGGCAACGTAGTTTTTTGGCAATATAGTAATCACGAAGTAGTATTGAAATTGCGTCTACTTTAGGAGTACAAAATCTTCAGATTCTTTCCGATCTAGTGACGAGAGCGCCTCCTTGATGAAATTTTGCAAATAAAAATGATCGTCTGCTAGCGGGCCTGCTAGTCTTTATGGCGTTAAATACATCACATTATGTATATCATATGCGGATTACGTTTCGTGTTGCGTACATGAATTGCAAAATTAAAAGCATTTTAGGTCATTTACATTGGTAGGAAATGTTTTGGTCATGTAGTACCGGAGTTCTCTTATTTTCCGCAAGTAGCGCTCGCATCGTTAAATCAGCGAATATCTGAAATCCTGGGTCTTGATTCTGGGGTCACTTTCTATGGAACCGACCATTGGCGTTATCTCTTTATACTGTTTCATGGTAGTAATAAGTATAGTTATTTAAGGTGATGTGAAAGTGGTATAACGTATAAAAATTCATTCAAGATTTATGTGACCCCATAAGCGCATTCACAATGAGTGTTTACGCATATATTTCCTTGTATAATTGACACATTGTTAAATACTAGTATGCTATTTCTAAGGAGTTACCTATTTCATCGCTTTGTATTTCATCGTCATCTAAATCAGCATGTATGTCGTATTCCTGGGGATTTTCCATCGATCTCAATTGTGGCAGCTAAAAAAATAAAATAACGTCATTTCTGTGAAATGAGAACGAGGAAGTTAAGCAAGAAAACTATATAACCGAATCCCACTGAACACCAAACCTAACGGTTACATAACTTAAAATTAACAAACAACATAACGTTTGTTACACCACTCGCCACTTTCGCGCTCTTTAGATTTTGTGTCGAGAAAAGCCAGGGAATTTGTCCGCAATAGATAAAGGAGCGCGATCGCGCTCTTTCTTTATTGTTAACGTGACGCGACAGCTTATGTTACCAGTCCAGTATTCAAACCAGCGTTATCGTCGAAAAGGTTATGCATGCATTTTTTTAATCGACGTCGATTAAATTTCTCGGTGCCTTTCATATCACCTTAAGACGTTCCCTGCCGCGTGTCTATTTACGACAGCGTAGTCGTCATTTGTTTCGGCACTGAACGTGTTAAGAGGATATTCGTACTGTACTGTTATAAATGTCCTAACCATCTTATGTTTCGGGCGCTCCTTGTTCCGCAGCAGAACCAATTTTTCAACGGGAATCCATTTCCCCTTTCCTTTGTTATATAAAAACGGTTCCACTTTAGTTCTCACTGCGTGATCCAACTCTGCGAATTGCTTGGTCTGCGCCGCTCTTTTCATCATATCGACCAATAGTCCACCACCTGAAAAGGTTTAACATTTTCATGATTACAAAATTATTGTCCACTTTGAAGTAAAATTTCCTAGTATAGTTTAAATATTATCTGTCGAATACATTATATACGTTTTAAAAATGTTAAAAATCAAAATAACACGTTTTGTTGTCATTGTTATGTAGGCACCCTTAGTACCCTCGAATCTAGGGAAAAAACATAGTCCGTAGCGCAGGTTTGTCCCAAATTCTTGATGGAGGTAACACGGCTTATAGGACGATTGAAAAACAACGTGGGACAGTGACCTGTGAAGTGGGAAAGTCCCAATTTGTTTTGATCGGCCATACTGTGGATGCGAAGAGCTCGCAGCCCAATATTCCGGAACGAAAAACTGACGAACAAATACAACAATCATATCTCATTTGCCCGCATTGCCATTCATTGAGATTCTCCTCCGGTCATTTCCCTAGATCCCACCAGAGGAATTGATCTAGCCACTCGGATCATTTAATTAATACATTCGTTACGCGAGAATTCCAGGTAATCCGTACTCGAATTTCCCCGTCCTAACATCCGCTCGGCTGCCAAGGTAACACCATAATGAAATTGCCGAACGAAAATATTTCAAAAATCTCTCGTGTTCTTTTATACCCACTGAAGTGTCCGACAATGAGACGTCAACAGAAATATTTTTATTTTATCGACGTTGATATAAATATCATGACCCTTTCATAACACCTTAAGATACTAAACTGCGATGTGGCGTATTTTTATTAATCCAGGATGAAAACCTACATACATGCTGTCATTAAGATATATTTTGTCTTAAATAGTATCATTTCTGGGTTAATGTATCAAAATCGAAATCAAAACATTCTTCTATTTTTTCTTACAAAAAGCTCTAAATAAAATAATCAGTCTCTTAAAACTCTTTACAAATTGCCTATTTCGTTGTGAAAATGATGATGCGTTAAAATGTTGTAATTACGGAATTAGTTCCAATGATTCACTCAATAAAACCACTGTCACAAATCTTACCTTTCAAATCCACTAGCTTGTATAGCACAATAGATGATGTATCTGTTTGTTTTTTTACACCACTTGTCACATTACTTTCAGTGTTTCCCATGTTTACGTCAGTCTTAAGGTTTGAAAGCAAAAATAACACGTGCAGTTGACGTTAAAGCTGTTCACAAGGAATTCTAAGTATAAGCTTTGTCATGCGACAACTCTGGTTACTACGGTTATGTCTACCTATTATTGATTAAACAACTTACGAATTGCTCAATACGATTTAGACACTGAGATCATATTCTACTTTAATTTTGAAAGACGTCAAATAGATTATGCACTTTTAAAAGTTATACAACGTGTCGTCCAAATTGTACAAGGTATACAAGGAAATTCGTGCCCAGCGAGATACGAACAAGATCCTGGATATAAAAGTTGAAAATACATTACGCTGCTTAATTGTTGCTAAACGTATAGTTTTCATGATCGAGGTTTGCAAAGTTGTATGAATCAAGAAGTATCTTTACCTTGTCGCAAATGTATGTATCACTCGTACAATAACTCTAGTAGCACAAAATATTTCCCCTGTATTTTCTATATATTTAATGAATATCGTACATTTGTTATTATCTTTATAATATTTGTATAACAGTAGCCCCATATGTTTTCATAATATTCATCTAACTGACATGCAAAACATATACTTTCATTTTAATATAAGTATTTTTTTAATATTATCGGCCGAATACATTATAAACGTTTTAAAAATATTAGAAATTAAAATCACACGTTTTGTTACCATAATGAAATAGCGGAACGGAAATGTTACAACAATTTGTCGTGTTTTTTCATACCAAATGAAGGGTCCGATAATAATCGTAAAGTAAAATATGTATTTTTATTATATGTTCATACATTTTTAAAAGTAAATATGTCATTGAGATTTTCAACATAAATTTCAGATATCTTCGAATGAAATTTACAAGATATCTTGAAAAAATTTGTCATTTGAAATATTTAGCAAAGATTACAAACAAATGTTTAGAAATTATTCTATGCTACTAGGGGAATTGCGGAAATAAAGTCCCACATTTATGTAATTTGCATCACGTATGAAATTTGTTAAGTAAAATACCTAGTAATTTACTGTAAAAGATTACGTAAATTATCTACGGTATTTTTTACTTATTCAACTCTGGAAATGAGGCATAAGACAATAAACTACACAACGCAAAATCAAATGTTTCTTGACAATGTTCACTCTATTGTGACAGTCTTGATTCTTTTATCAAATTGACATAAACGTTGCTTATCGCTAGAATGATAAAATAGTTTAAAATAATCACGGTGGCTTTATGAAACTTTAGATATATGTTCTTCTTTCTTTATATGTCATGATATTCCGGTTAATGCAGCAGTTAATTATTCTACATTTCTATAAACTAAGCATACTAGGTTATTATAACGTATGATATCACATAAATTCACTGAAAATGTTAAGATCTTTGAAAAGTATAGATTTGAAACATGGAGGGACAACACAAAAGGTAAGTCTGGAAATGTACCCTCGTAGCTCGGAGTAATTTCTAAACATTTTTTGTAATCTTTGCTAAATATCTCAAGCGGCAGATTTTTTTTTAATGTCCCGTAGATTTCATTTGAAGGTATCTAAAATATTTGTTGAAACACTCAATGATATTTAGCTTTAATAATTGATAAGCATCTTATAAAAATACATTTTTTACTTCACGATTATCATCTGACGCTTCGTTTGGTATCAAAAATCACGACAAATTTTTGCAATATTTTCGTTCCGCTATTTCATTACGGGAACACAACATGTGATTTTGATTTTAAATATTTTTTAAACATTTACAATGTATTCGGCAGATATTTAAAAAATACATTAAAATTAAACGAAATGTTTCGTATATCTGTAAACAAAAAAATAGTAGTAAAAAACATGGAGTGTTTTACTACATAAATAGTATAAAACAAATATTGTAAAGTAAATGTTTTGCAATTATTTCAAATGTATTCTAAATATTTCCATAATGTACGATACTCGTTAAATATGTAGAAAATATGAGACAATATATTTTGTGCTACTGGGTAGTTTTTCGTACTGAAATTGTATCGTTCAATATTTTAGGACGATTGTACTCACGTATGGGATATTTCAACATCCGAAAGATGTGATTGGGTAAAACGCACGCATGATTGCGAAACAGACTCCGTTATACAATACGCTCACATTCTGTTCTGTATATTCAATTCTGGAAACCCAGCTTTATTTGCATTGGGACTGGTTCTACTTTCAATGTGGCTAATGTATTTGTTTTTCATCCTGGGAACAACTGCGGACAATTTGTAAGACGGTTTTCATTCTAAATAGTCATTTAACAAATATCAACGAAGATTAATTAATTGTATCGGAAGAATCATTTCTTTCGTGTCTTCATAAACATAATATATACCCGGTAATTATCAATGGTGATTCACTCCAATTTTCGTATAATTTTGATATATCGTAGAGGACGTCGTCCCGAGTATTTATATATATATATATATTTAAGGGTCGGACTTGAATATTTTTGGAGTTATTAAACGATTGAAGAATAGCAATAATATAGCATGGCGGAGCGTGTATAGATGAAAATGGATAAAAGGGTATAGATGGATTTTAATTAGGCAACGTCGATTAAATTTCTCAGCGCCTTTCGTATCATCTTAAGTTTCGTTGTGCTCTTCGGATTACGGTAAACTGTGATTAATAATGTACACGTCCTTTCAGCTTTTGTCCATCTCTTTCCGCCATTGCCACAGTCTTACGTCTATCTGCTAATGTAGCTGGTGTTACGATATTAGCCTTTGGAAATGGAGCACCTGACATATTTACATCGTTGGTATCCGATGAAGACGAAGCAATGATAATGTTCACAGAGTTAATCGGTGCTGGTATTTTCGTGACAACACTCATTGCTGGGACGATAGCCGTTGTATCTCCTTTTCAAGTTTCTGCCCAACCGTTCATAAGAGACGCATGTTTTTACGTTGTCGCTGTCTGTTGGATAACGTACGTTATCAAAGATGAGACAGTCTACGTCTGGGAAGCTGCAAGTAAATTGTCATTTCATTATATATTGAATAATTTATATCATTTATAAATTGTGACGTGGTGGATTCGGTCCACTCGTCCCAGGAATTCTTAAGGGCCGAGTATGCTTTTTAGCCGCCCTTTTATGGTCCTTGGGACCGGCGGTCCCCGACCCGTGAGGAAGCACCGCCAATTCGCGTTGATTAGTCTCATTTTTCTGTGCCTTTATCACCGGTTTGCCTTGTTACGTCAAAAGAGTAACAAATTATTGATCCGCACTCAGATCAGCTTACCTGCAGCGCGAATCGAAACCCCCTTTTTGGCCACCTAACTTAATCATAGAGCCGGGGGGGGGGGGGGGGCACAGACGGTCAAGGGCGGAAATAACCAAGACTAGGGGTTTAACAATAAAATTTTTATTACTAGACAACAATTTAAATTTGACCTACAAATACAATTAAATATTCCCTGAACTATATGAGGTCGATTTCAGTAAACTCGATCAAAATTATGCACGAACATGGAAATCGCAAGGACAGAATACACAATGATATTACAAATGCCAGAATTCAAGATCGCAAACCTACCTTAACGAAATGGAAGACTGGTATTCTCCATGTCTCATTACGTGTGGTGCAATATCAAAGTTCAGACTACAATTTAGAACCAGGATTCAAGGATAAGCTTAACGATAAAACAATATCAAAATTCAAGAATAACATTTAAGAATAAAATTTAATATCGAAATTAAAAAATAAAATTTCAGAATAAACTTAATATCAAGGTACAAGAATAGAATTGAAGAATAGAATTTAATATTAAAATTCAAAGGTAAAGCCTAAGAATAGAAATTTAATATCCAAGTTCAAGAGTAAAGCTAAGAATAAATTTTCAACATCAACTTTCAACGATATAACCTTAATACAAACATTTATCGATTAATTGAAATACGACTTGGTAAAACTCTTCAGGAATCCAGGTTCAAATAGAAAAATTTGGCGATCGGGGGAGTAGATGATTGAAATAAATTTCACTGAGACATTTCATGTAACGATCTCGGGATTACTTAGAATTAGGAGGGAAGCATCTACAATAATCACATTCAGCGAAATACATAATATGAACAGCTCGATACAAAATACAGGCTCAGTGAACAATTACATTCCGCTATCAAATTTCTATATTAATTCGCGGAGACACGATACAATATTTCTGAATTACAAATATATGTTTATAAATTGTTAAAACTAATTATGTCATTGAGATTTTCAACAAACAGTTTAGATATCTTCAAAGCAAATCTATAAGACATCTTAAAAAATCTGTCGCCTAAAATATTTAGCAAAGAGTACAAAAAATGTTTTGAAATTATTCTGTGCTGTAACGGGATACGATTCGGAATAGGGTTGGAAGGAATTTTTTGAGGATGCGGCGGCTGGACGATGTGCCAAAGACCGCTGAATTTAGGGATATGAGGTTAAGGATTAATTACCTTTATTTTAATAATTCTGAAATCCGGACAACTTCTTCTCTTTTCCTACTATTCGATTGTATTCAGCATTCTATCTGCTGAAACTCACATGCCTCTATTATCACCGATTCTGACTACGCTGCGCTGGCGTCGCTCGATCGCTCCGTTACGGTATTTGTTAAATTTTGTATAAAAAATGAAATTTTACGAGGGTTAGAACCTTTCTTACGGTCTCCGCATTCACGTTGCAAAGTTTAAAATTTATTCGGTACACCCAGTTTAAAGAAAAGTTTCACGAACGACTGACTGCTCAGATCTCACTTTCACAACTCCTTAACGAAAGGACACTAGAGGTAGCACACATTTTTCTTTTATTCGGATGAAATTTAAAAATCTTCCCTCTTTGAATAAATTGCCTCAATTTGACCTGACACTATGCATGGCAATAAGAAAGACGCGGACATAATAAAATAGGGTATAATTGATTACTTAACTTTTTATTTATATACTGCGAAATATATTTATTCATTTTACTTATTCTGAAGAACAAAACAGTCATTTTAAGTTACTAGTTTCTTTTCGTTACACACAAAAGTTACGCACACGAAATTAGTTGTTTCTGATGGTTTTCAAAAAGTATTTTAATATTTTTTACAATTTTTTTCAAAGATATTTATATCATTCAACTGCAACAAAAGAAAATACAAAATCTTGCAGATTCTAGTAAGAAAAAACGTAACTTCGGTTCTTCTACCGTGGGGATTCCTTCTTTTACAAAGGTTGATGAATTCTCTCATATAATACTCCCTCTTCGTATAGTTAATATTACCATTCCAAATGTTGATTACTCCTGCGCACCTTTTAAGCGTAGCACCATGGATACGGTACCTATTGGCAAGGTTACGTTTACCGTTCCATATGGTCAATTTCACCATTTGTGTGGTTTCACTTACCACAATATTTTAACCATAACCTGTAGTAACTGTAACCAAGTTATTATTTCTGAGCATGAATAGGATTATTTACAGATATTCAATGAATTCGATACCATTGGATTTCTTCCAGGTTTCGTTGCCTATTACATCTTTTTTATCATCATAGTGATCACCATGCAGGTGCATGATCGCAGAGAAGAAAAACAAAAAGGTGTGCCATCTATATTTTTTAATTATGCTTTCCGTTAGTCTTTTTCCTATTTTCAATGGTAAACTCACAGGTCGTACGCAGGGTTAGGTAATTTCGCGTTTTTCGAGATTTTTAACCTATATTACGTAAACCACGTAGTTTACTGTAGAAAAACAGTAAATTACGTTTTCAATATGGCGGTTGCCGGAAACGCACGATGTATGTATCCCTTTAGTTATAAACGTCTATTAGCGTGTACGTAAACGCGTAAATATTTTTAAGAAGTAATTAATTTGACGTTTGTGTTCAAAATGTTTTTGACTTAACTCCGTTTAATATGAAATTTTTAATTGGATTTATTACTTGCTATTTAGAAATACAAGGTTAATATACATTGCGCTCGTGTAAAAAACTAGAGACGTATTATACGTTATGATATACATGGAGAAAACCACGTTTGTTGCTTGACGTATTATACTTACCCAACCCTGGTCGTACGTATATGTAACGAAAATCTTAAAAAAATATAAAAATATATTTTTAATTTGTAGGAAGAATTCCGAATGCACGGAATGCGACCGTCTTTCAAATTTTCTTAGCAAATCGCAATACCGACATCCTACCTCAACTGTCGCAGCGTGCACGAGCGTTTAGTGTTCGGACTAAATTGGGTAAGAAGTTTGCACTACATTTAGAAACAGCGTCAAAATATTAAAGTAAAATGAAAATGATCTCTGGTGTCAATATATTTATAAAACTTTTCTACGAACTGCACCGAGAAAACGGTTTTTCTAATTCAAACACGGAAATATGTTTAAACTGCTTTTATGTGCTGCATCGATCGACAAAACGTTTATTTGATTTCAGTAAATGACAAATTTTCACGTTCTTAAGTAAAATACACTGTTTGTTTGACATAACTGGCTTAATTTACATGAATAATTTCTTTAAAATAATCAATCAACTTGTTTGACACTAAAGCTACGGGCGGATTTATTTTGGCTGTGGTGGACCATTTAAAACCAGTCAATTTGACCGGGCTTGGTAGTTGTAGCATTAAGTATTTTGTATTTATATTTAACAAATCATTTATTCGATTCCACCAAATGAATTTAGAAATACCGCAAGGTCCTTCGAAGTAAATAATTTAGTGGGCAATACTTTAATGGGCTAAAAGAATGAAAATCAGTGATATGAGTTGTAATATCACGTGAAAAATGAGTGAAAAAGTTATAATAGCGGCACGTTCTTAAATTGGTCGGGCATCCAAGTTTCGTTGGCTACGCCAACAAAGAATCTTTTCCTCTCTTACAATGTTCGTTTACATGAAACATTTATTGAATTGAAATCGAGCAAATCATTTGATTACATGAAATAAATATGGGCAATCGACAAATATGTTGTAATGAAATATATACTCGTTCGACTGTATAACAAGGAAAAAATAACTTTCATTGAAACATATTTGTTTTCAATCGTTTCCTCGGTGTGGGTCAAAAGAAATCGTTTTCTCAGGGTGGGTGCACCGAATGATTTGTCAGTCTTGTGTGACGGTTCGGTTCGATATCCTTAAAAAAGTCTTAAGGGGAATTTCCACGGTGCCAGTAACTTCGAGTATTACTCGTCTCGGGCAATCTGTCATTGCAGTACCGGAGTGGAGTACTCGTTCAAGTGCCAATGCGAGTCGCGGGAACGGAAAGCAATCCTGTTTCCTGTCGCGAGTTGTAACCCATACCACGTATTTCGCTCTACTATCATGTATACCAGACACGTGTAAACGCGTTTTTTGAGGGCGGCATGCAAATTCCAAGAGCAAATTGAAGCAGTTTTGTGCAATCTTGTGTTGAATTTTGGGTTGAAATGGTCCAAAGGTGAACAGGAGACCCCACGTTCGCATTTGTTGAATTGCATCGAGGGGAAGAATGCCTCAGGAATTCGAAACTGCAACGGTGCAATAATAAACAGGCGCGAGATACGGCACTGCAGAGGATTGCCGAAAAATGCAACTTCCAGGCACAACGCGTTCAAATACCGTTTAATCATTTTCTCCGTAAAATGTTTAAAATTGCGTCACCCCTTCGACATTTTTGGGTTATAGCCCATGACTTTCTGCTTACTACTACTGTACTAGTACTAGAAGGCTGGGTGAACGCTCCTATCTTGTAAAACACTCGCTTCAAGTACTCGGTTTTAGTGACTCGTTCGAGTGACTGGCACCGGGTAAATTCCCCTTTATTCGAATCGACTGATTTAAGGGTGGTTTCGTTTAATCCAAAGATACTGCGATTGCTGCGGAGGTTGCAAATGCCGAACTACGCGGGGAATCTGTGAATACAAAACAGACCCTACCAGAAATACCAGATATTGCATTCTCAAGACCTACTGACTGCTTCGAAGAGTTCATTTATGATATTAACCCAATCAATAAATACGACTGGGACAATGCTACGCGTTTTATGAAAATAGTGCTCATTATTCGTGCCCCATTTATGTTCGTTCTTCAGTTATTAATCCCAGTCGTAGACGAAACAGTTGTGAAGAGAGGATGGTCCAAACTATTGAATTGTTTGCAAATTTGTATAGCACCGGCAGCAGCACTTTTTGCATTAAATGGTAAAACAAGCTATACATCTACTGTTCCGTACTTATTATTTCCACGAATGACACGTTCATAATAATTCGTAATCTCGATTTGCAGTCTGGAGATTGAGTATTGGACCCGTACCCGTATTTCCAATAATATTTCTTATAGGTCTAGCAGTTGGTATATGTGTTTTTACATCTACTTCTCTAGATCATCCTCCCAAGTTTCACAATGTGAGTACTCGATGGCACGTATTCTAACCACTGATCCGTGTACCAACCGGATAGCCGATACCTTACAAAATGGCGTGTGACGTTTCGAAGCGACCACGGCACCTCTGGTTATGGGCACGTCAACTAATATTGTAGTATTTGCGCATGCTTCAAAACAACGCATCTTCTATCTGCAGATAGTATAAGAAGTGCCAAATTAAATGACGAAGAAAATAAAGCGCACCCGTTACTTATTTAGTATCGCTGCCCATGTGTAGTGGGCGCTGGTGTGCCTTGAATTCGTCGAAGCCTTCTCCGTATAGAACATCCGGCTATCCGGTTAGTGTATGGATCAGTAATGGCAGGGTTGGGTAATTCTCCATTTTTCGAGGTTTTCGACGTATATTACGTAACACAGTAGTTCACCGGAGAAAATCCTAGAATACCAGTAAATTACGTTTCCAATATGAAAAATGCTGCAAATGGACGACATACGGCTTCTGCTAGGTTATAAACATCTTTTAGCACATCTGTGAATACGGAAATATTTTAAGGATCAACGAATTAATTTGGCGCTTGTATTCTAAATTCTTTAGAATTTTACGTTTTCAATATGGCGGATTCTACAGTTGCATGATATATGTTTTCGCGAGGTTAACGTCTTTTAGCGCACATATATACTCGTAAAATTTGTAAGAAATAATTAATTTGGCGTTCGTGTTTAAACTCTTTCGACTTAACCCTGTTTAATATTAAATTTGTAATTGGATTTATTTTTTATTTCAAAAGAGAAGAACGTAATGTAGTTTGCGCTCGCGGAGAAAACTAGCAACGTACAGGAGAGGAGGATATTATGGAATACCATTTACATTTCTAAAAATAACTTTACTGGTCTTTGAATAAAAATCCCAAAATCAAGTTGGGTACAAACTAACTAACTAATTGTAACGAACTGTCACTTGTAAAGAAAATACTAATTTATTTTGTTGTTATACGAAAAAATAATTTAAAAAAAGTTATAAATGGAGGATAAGACAGGTGACTCAGCTGAGGGTTTCGTTACAGCAATGAAATGCTTAAACCATTTAGTAAAAATGTTTGTCTGTATCCAACCAAACGGGTGGCACGATGCGATGGTCCCTGGTGGAGCACCTTTAAGGAGTCGTTCATTCATGTTCTTCCTCGGAAATATTATGAGGCGGGACAAAGTCACCTCCTGCACTCATACAGGGAATGATGGTAACGAGAGAACTTCTTTCACCTCAAGTAAGGAACCCAATTTGTCTCTTTTCTTTTAGGCCTAGTACATGAGGAACTTTACATTGAACCACGGACAAACCAGTTCCGTCTACATTAAATATCCCGTTAGGACGATAGTTGTGTTTTTTGAAAAGAACATCGATCGGGTCAAAAAACTTGTCTACTTCTTCTTTATTAAATTCCCTAGCTCTGGCAAAAGATGTAGCCATGTGTTTATTGACCGAATGTTTCGGGTTCCTTTTCATAAAAGCGTAGAACCAGTCTTTGCCAACAGTTTCGTCCTAAAATGGATGGGGTATGTTATTGCGAATCGCAACTTGATAGACAGGACTGCAGACATCCCTTTCTGTGAGCCCATAGAACATGGCCTCCGTCTCAACGAAATATTGTTGTAACTCGTCTTCTAGTTCTTTAGAAAAAACTGGCTTATGGCCAAGAGCTGTTGAGGCTGCTACGTTTTCATTTTTCTCCTTACTGTTGACATGGCGGAAAAGAGTCGCTCTGAGAACCTGGAATTCCTTGGACGCCTGAAGGTACCCCATCTTCTTTTTACGAACAGCTTCTATGACAACACACACTTTGTTCTGTAGCGAGTGGTACGACTACAATAAGCGGTCAGCTCTCACCGCATTGCATCATGGGAGTCTTTCTTGAATAGTTCATGGTATTTCCACGAGATAGCAGCCCCAAACAGAGCCGATACCTCGATATTCCATATTTCCCGACTATTCCATAATACCCTCCTCTCCTCTATTATACATTGTAATATACACGTAGAAAACTACGTGTACTTCATGGCGTGTTATACTTACCCAACCCTGAGTGATTGTAACAAATGATATGTAAACTTAAAAATTTAATTCATTATAATTTCGACTTAGATCTTCGCATTTTTTGGTTTCTTTGTTGCGATGACAATCGTATACCTGGTGGCTCAAGAAGTAATGGGCGTTTTAAAGTGTGTTGGTTTTGCGAGTGGCATTTCTGACGCTATGTTAGGTATCACGCTTCTTGCATGGGGCAACAGTATAGGTGGTAAGTACTGATACGTATCATTTAGTGACCACGAAGGTCCAATTCGATGTATAGGGTGTTAAGGTGATATGAGAGCGTCATTTTATGTATATGAAACGTCAAAATATTGATAAAACTTTTCTCCAAACTGAATGCACCGAATTGTTGGAAACTTCAGCATGCGATTATGGAGGTTCCAAGGAAGAATGTGGTGCTCATAAAACTTCATAAAAAAGAAAATATTCTTGGTTTTAGTCTGAGATAAATAACAAATTGTTTATCAAAAAAGAAACTTCACGACCATCGCGTTCTTCTTCAGAGCCTACATAATCACATGCTCAAGTTTCAAATGATTCGGTGCACCCAATTTGGAGAAAGATTTTATAAATATTTTGACTTTTTATATACATATAATGACCCTTTCATATCACCTTAAGACCTTACCATCCTAGTCCTTATTATTCCGGTTCAGCCCTCCTCCCACTAACCAGACGAGATCGAACTTACCAATTAAATCTCGTTTTTTTTCTAATAATTATGGACAACCATCTTATTATAATAAAATTGCATTTGTTAATTTAAATAATTTAGTTTCGTTTTCAAACACATAAAAGGCTTAAACAAAAGCTGTAAAAGAATACAGTGCATTCCGCCAATTGCTTCAACATATTTAATTAACTTATTTTTAAAATGAAATTCACCAGAAAGAACAGATCATATAAGAAATACCTTCGTGGTTTCTTACGTTTGATCTGTAGCCTCAATTGAAGTTATTGCGTTACGATATTTTGATTGTGATGCATTTTGAGTAAACTTAACGATTATTAATTTTCTGAGCAGTGATTTAAGAAAAAAAAAAAAAAGAAAATAGTACTAAGCATTACATGCTCTACCACTCAGTAGCGTGCGGGTATCTCCGGCACCTCGCAATACAATGCATTCATTATTTTAAGCAATGTATGATAAATGTTTCTTACGTGTACGGAGAAAAACAAGTGCTTTAAAGTTACAGAAGCCTATCCGTTGGAAATTTTTGTTCACGATACGGTTAAAAACTGTTCCATTAACGGATTGATCAAGTTAATTACTATCTTACATGTACAGTTAGCAGAAACATTTCTGTAAAAGTCAGCTGTAACGGTAGCTGAAAGTCTGTTAATATTAATAGCCATGACACTGGTACATACATCTGAAGCATTACAAAATTCTAGGTGCAACGAAAAATATCTGTAGACATTACAGACTCGGTCTGTTCGGCTCATATTTTTTTTCAGAAGTATTAAGAATCTTTGTGAGCGTTACAGAATAAATCTGCAGATTTTATAGATTTAACGGATTAAGGATAACAGATGTTTATCCGTAAACCCTTCCAAGTACTTACATGGAATCGTTATAGATATTTATCTGTAATTTGTACGGATTTGAATAAGAAAATCTTTATCGTAACGCTAACGGAAATAAATTGCTTTCCTCGATTCAACGGAAGAAATCTGAATTTTACAGATTTTTATGTAGGATTAACCAATTTTTTTTCTCCGGGTGCGTTATCATTCATTAATGTGTATTATTTACATTTTTAGATCTGATCGCAAATATCACGATTGCTAGACAAGGTTTTCCTCGCATGGGTTACTCCGCTTGTATCGGCGGACCAATGTTCAACACATTGCTAGGACTTGGATTGACCTACGGTTACAGAGCAGTTGGAGAACCTGATTACAAAACGAAAGTTAGAACAAGTGACATGGCACCCGGTTGTCTCGCTTTTCTGCTTTGCTCGCTGGTATCGTCATTGACGTATCTTCATTTAACGGGTTTTTCTGCTCGACGATCTTACGGATACCTTCTTTACACCGTATACGCAACTTTCTTATTGATAAGTATTTTAAGCGAAATACATGTCATTCATCCACTTGGAACTGACCACCGTGAAGATAGTCACGAACATAATAGAACGGAAACTGTAAATAATTAAACAAATAGGACAAATAGAAACGTTGTTGATTTTCATACCTCTCCACCAAACACAGTTACGTAGCAATGATATAGCCGGTATATAACGTTTGTAACATGTAATGTAACATTGTGACGGGGCAGAATTCTGCTGTAACAATTAAGGGTTTAGCGATGGCGGTGAGTACCAAATTTTGTAACTATTTAATTTCAGCATCGATTGGCGACACTCGAAGTCATCTTGGGCGATGGCAAGTTGTAAGTAATTGTTGTAAATATTCGTTAGTATAAGAATTGTTATATATTAAGTATCGCGTAGGGCCTGATATATTGCGGGTCATTACCACTCTTGGTACGAGTTCTGAAGCATAATTCGGGCATTTAATAACCGCGCCGCGATACTCTACGTGGTACTTGGCGCAGTACACGCTGTCAATTGTCGACGCTTAGCGGTTTCGGCTGCTCCTTGGGAAATCGGTGGAAGGGGTTTTCCGCAATTCGGTGATTCTGCCGAGTATCGGAGTTTGTCTAGGATACTCCGAGTGTCGCCCTTTTCCCGTTGTCGGTGGGGCTTCGCTGCCGCCTAGTTTGCCAGGTGGACTGCCTTAATTAGCAAACCCACCATGGGTTTCAATCAAATCTCGTTTCCACTCAATTTTGAATAAAATTCGTCCAACGGTGCCAGTCGGGTTTTACCGCCGGATGCGGTCTTTCTCCCTATTAATCCGTCCGACCGGCTAGCTCCCTGCTGGTCGGGGGGGCTTCTGGCCACTACGGTCGCTGAAAAAGGCAAGGTCCCGTACAAAAAGAGAACCCCGTCGTATTAACGCTGTGTGAATTTGAGTAAAATAAAATGAAGAACCAAATTACATTTCCGAGACCCAGGCTCGCTCGGGAGCCCTCGAATCCTCCATGAGGCGTCACGAGTACTTTAACGCTTTGGGCCCCTAACGGCCCAAAAGGTTCCCGAAATACGCGACTCCCCGACCCCGGCTCTCCCTGCGGGTGGGCGGCCTCGGGGTGGATTTCGCCACCGTCTCCGCGGTCCTCTGGTGGACACCCGCGTAGCACTTCCCTAACCGCGGAACCGACCTGAAACTATTCGCGAGACCGAAATAGGTCTTTTTCCACAAATTCGGAATCTAATGCGAACGTCAAACGGCTGACCGAAACACGAGTGCGGGTTCGACGCAAACTAAAGGGTCGCATCGCGACGACACCTCACCGGAGTCCTCACCAGAGTCCTCACCGGAGTCCTCCCGACCCCGCCGTCACCGCGCCTGGTTCCTTCCGAACCCCGCTGGATCACGGATTCTCGCGGAAGTCCGGATTCGCTTTCGGGGCGATAGCTCCTCGCAAGGCCCCCTTACCGACCGTGGGCCCTGATCCTACGGTGTCACCGGTGCTCCGGGTCTTTTTCTTCGCGTCCACGTAGACGCGCCCCGCCCTTAAGGATCCGGAAGGGACCACGTTTCCCATGTGGTCCCTATGGCGGCCTGAGGGAGTGAGGGAGGTCTCTTGTCTCGGTATTTCCGTCACGTAGAGGCACCTACCTTGAGCCCTTTGGACCGCGGTCCCGCGGCCTCCCCCCGTACCTCCGAAAAGGACACCGCTTTGGAACGTGGAGCACAGAAAATTAGCCATTATTCAAATTAATGGAAGAAAAAGGAGACATTAAAGTGAAGGAAAAATGTACTTTCTTAATTTAGTATTTTTCGTAGAATATAAAAAGACATAAACATTAAATGTTTTATTTTATCGATCGTTAGTTCAATGGTAGTAAATCATTATATATAAATATAAGTTAATGGGTAATAAAATGTATTTTCCCTAATACAAGAAATACTTTTCGAAGATTCACTACCTTTCTACTGTCTTAAAGAGATTCCCTGTCCTCGGGTTTTTCAGTAGATTATCTAAAAACTCGTTCACCGCAACAGTTTGTCTTTTATCATTTTTCCTAGGCGAAGGAACAAGCTTTGATGAACTCGGATAAATGCAATGGTAGAATGTAAGTGAAATTTTATGAACTGTCGCCGATTTAAATACATTTACAACATTTTCACGAACAAGACGCTTGACATTGAACCCGCTGTCATCCCCAAACCTAAAAAAGCGGCTAGCATTGCCGAAGCCACTTCTTTTTCGTGCCTCTCAACGTGTCTGAAACAAAAGAAAACAAAACAAAGTCAGAATATTGGTATTGCCATCATGGACGTATAATATGTGGACCGCTCGCTCCCCATACTTGAACATGGCTCCGAATGGGTCCAACGGAACGGTGAGAGAATGAAAACGTTGGCGATCGGGTCTACGCTTGTCTGTGCAACAGGAATGCGTGGTGAAGTAATCGCGTATGTAAATGTGTATATTGCTCTCGACTTTCAAGAACTTACTGCGCATGCGATCGGCGCAGAGAAGAGTAGACTCGACTACCCTAGTTCTCTTTCGCTCACCGATCTACGAGCGGCACTCAGAGAGCGGTCCATATATTATACGTCCATGATTGCCACACGTATAGCCCGTCCCAAAGATAGAAACTAAACTATCATCGAAATAAGTTTGCATGGGAAGGTATTCATGTTCACCAATGTACAGAGAAATTGTCAACGAGAAAAAAAAAATATTCTATATAATAAAAAATATTATATATAGTATAGTGCAAAAATATACAATCTCTCGTTCTATTAGCAATCCCGAGTTATTATTGAGTTGTACCCTGAAATTCCAACATATCCCAATATTGCAAATGATCCGTAGAACATTCATGGCGTCTGTAATAATTATTTTAAAGCTTGTTAACCAAAACGTTGTTTCTAAATTATTTAATTTGGTCAAGTTTGGTGTTTAATTTTTGAAGTGAAACTCCTTTAGCCACGGTGGTACGAGTTCACTGCTTGGGAGATTTTAATGAAACGCCAGACACTGAGCCAGGGCCAAAGCCAGAGTCGGCAAAAGTTTCACTTCCAACGCGCAAGGCGACAACTAACTTTTTTTAAATATTTTATTCAGTTATTTATATACTTACTGAATGGTTGATGCCTATTTGTTCTATTATATAAGGAAAGGGTTTCGACGAATTCCAGGCACCCCAGCGCCATTAGCCATGGGCAGCGATACTAAATATAAGTAACGTAGGCGCATGCGTAAAAGTGTTAAACTGTCAATCTGCCAATCGCGGCAGTAACAAATTTAGAATTGTCAATTCGCAACGGTAAACGGTTACGATAAAAAGGACAGAAGAGACATAATTTACGTGTATTTAAAATGGTGCGTTGTGCATATTGTAAGGAAGCTTCGACTAAAACAAAACGGTTATCTTTCTTTCTCGTGAATATTTTAATATTTCTTGTATGTTAACACTTTGATGCGCATTCTTTCGCATCGCTTTAGGTTGCCACCGGTGCGTAGCACCCTTACGTGAAAAAAAGTCACGTGTACGCGACAGCGACCGACAATATATTAATATTTCTCGGAAGTATTTGAACAAAAATGACAATTACTTTCTTCCAGTGAATTGGGCATCTTTTATCCTATCTGCAATTAAAAGATGCCTTGTCTTGACGCATGCGCAAATACTACGATATTAATTGACGTGCCCATAACCAGAGGCGCGGTAGTCGCTTCAAAATGTCACGCCACTTTGTAGGGTATCGGCTATCCAGTTAGTATACAGATCAATAATTTGGTTCCATGAAGTATTTAAAATTGTACACTTTGTTATGCCCTAACATCGTGACTCTCTTTTAATCTTTTACCACTCGCCGGACCCTGGGATCATTGATGGATACCGCTTCACGGCGTTAGTTCTATGTCAGCAAAATTGTATCCCGTAACAGGAATACGCTTTGTCTTATCCTTAGCCCCGTTCTCTCGGCTCCCAAAGAGAGTCAGTCGTAACTGTCCGAATCGAAACGTCGTCATGAACCAATAGTATACGGCTTGAAAATTAATACAGAATTAATTATGAAAGTTAGTGGTATAAAATTGTCGCGATTCCTCAAGATGACAAATACCTCACGGCATAACAACTTATAAAGATATATTTTCTCCTAAAGAGACTGTGAATTTTGAGTAGACGCCCTTATATCACGTATGGAACAAACGGTACGGCAATATATGGAAAGAATATTTCATTTCTGCTTTTAGGTATACGAAAGGAGTGTCGTATTTGGTAAACAGTTGATTCGTCACTTTTATGGACACTCGGACACATGGATCAAAGATTGACCATGGGTTCCCTGGAAAAAATGTCCGCGGACATCTAGTTTTTCTACCATCATCGAGTAATGAAAATAAAAGCAGAATTTGAGAGAATCACTCCTGACTTGACGACTTCTAACCCTTATTCCTCCAACATGGATTTAGAATCACGAATCATTAATTGTTGTAATATATAGTCGAAAAACAAGATACTTACGTGGGAGCTAGCACAAACGCAAGGTTACAGATGTATCCGCTCGTGCATGAAAAACATATCATTATCAGAATGAAATAAACATCGTCATGGATGTATACTGGAAGATGATGCCTTGGGTGGGCATTGCACAGCATGATAGTAGGGATAAATAGAATTCGGAGAAAACTCAGGAAGATTAGTAACCATGGCCTGTTCCTAGGCTGCAATAACAGAAAACCTCTTTTTATTACGCATATATCTCGTGAAACCTATCAAGGTTAGTGAATCTCAAGATTTTTAAGGTGATATAAAAGGCGTCGAGAAATTGAATCGACATCGAAGAATTAAAATTCATCTATACCCTTTTTGGAGGTAACGCCATTTTGAATACTCAAATGGTAACTAAATAAGCAGACACGCCATGTTACTAACATTTGCATTTATGTTGACGTTTCTTAAGAAAGTGTCGTTTGTTATTGGATGTCAAGAATGGGACATTCGCGTATGTGTCCCAATTCTTTCGATTTCTTGTAGAGCGAAAAGAAGTACGATCACGTTACTTACCCAGCACAAATATCCACATAGCTTTCTCCCGAAATAATCACCGGTGCTAAATAGTAAGTAAGCAACCACCGGCACGAAGTAGACGTCTACAGAAATTGAAAGAAAATATTAACATTAATTTTCTCCCTTATGAGATGAAAGAACGTCGAACGAATAAAATTTTAAACATGAACCATCAAGATAGAACATTTTCTCGTATATTCGATGTAATTTTAACTTTATATGCTCACTGGAATGACACGTTTTATTAAGTTACGCAGCTGCAACGGAACGAGTGGAAAAATCTATAATATTCGAAATTATTCTAGAAACGTCTTGACGTTCTCTCTTTTACGTTTGGAGGGCCAGCGGCGAAAATGACGATGGAGTTCTAAATCCGGTAAGTTGGGTCAGAAACGAAGAGAAATTCCAAAGTAACTTGTCGGTCATTTCTCCAGTCCTTTTTATCGAGAAATTATGAGAATTTGAATTTTTACTACGGAGCGAACGAGAGGTCCCGATTAGCCATAGAGAAACATCGTAGAGGGGAATTTCTCCGTAGCCAATTAGAATCTCCCATTCGCTTCGTCGCACGACACCGTCTGCAAAATCAAATATCGGCTCGTTTCAAACAAATCGCATGGAATTTCCCGTCAAGTTGTACATACGTGAATATTTTCTAATAGTAATTATTACTCTTTAGCTTGAACTTTTAAGTGCATTGAAAAAGAAAAAGGTATTTAAACGAAGAAACCTAAAGTATAAATATTAAAATTAACGTTCTTTTAAATTCTCAATGTTCTCGATAACTTGCGGTATGTTTCACAGTTACCTTCTCCGATTTAATGTTACCGAGAATTTTCGACCTCCGAAACTTGTTAACGTGGCAACCGGCTTCAAAAGGGCGTCACAGAATTTATACAATTCATACAAGTACTTTACAAGTAGATTTTGATCGAGTGAAAACTCCGAAAGAACACATTACAACATGTATGTAATGGAAAAAGACAATGCAATTGAAACCTACCATTCCACGCGTGTCCTTTCCCTTTATCTTGGCTCTCAACTAGAACGGTAACTCCTGGATATGCCATCGTCGTCACGCAGAAGACCAAAAAGGTAACAACATTGTACTGCCATATTTTCTTGAAAATTCGACAATAGGAGATTCTATGACGCGGTAAAACATCCACCGAATGAGTGACCACCGTCGATTCAGGTACTTTATGCAACATATAGTATTTATAATACTCCTGAAATTCATGTACATCCATTGTAGCGCAACGAAATATAAAAACATCCGTATTTAGTACATCAATTTGAAACTTCCCCTAGTAGTACAGAACAATTTCTAAATATTTATTTGTAATCTTTGCTAAATACTTCAAGGGACAGATTCTTTTAAGATGTCTTGTAAATTTCATTTGAAGATATCTAAAATATTTCTTGAAAATCTCAATGACATATTTAGTTTTATTGATTTATAAACATATTTTTTACTTTACCATTATTCTAGAACAATTTATTTGGTATAAAAAAACACGCTATTTCATTAAGGTAATAAAATACGTGATTTTTATTTTAAATGTTTTTAAAACGTTTATAACGTATTTGGCGGATAATATTTAAATAATATTTATATTAAAATAAAATTAAATGTTTTGTATGTCAATAAGAAAAGTATTACGAAAACACGTGGAGCTAATATTATACAAATGTTATAAAAATAATACTCTAAAGTAAATGTTTAGCAAATATTTGAAATATCTGCTAAATATTTCGAAAATGTACGATATTCGTTAAATATATAGAAAATATAAGAGAAATATTTTGTGCTACTAGGGTTGTATCAGAAATTGTACAATGGATCTTGGACACGCGTACACTGTATATTTATAAGAATACGCCTAAAATGTTTATATGTCCTACAAGTGACTTCGACCTACGACCCAAAACCAGGTGTACTTGAAGAAACATTTATACTTTTTGTATCGAGGGTGTGTTTACCCAGGAAATCATCGATCAACACCTGAAATCACGTAGAAATCAGCTGGAAATCTCAAGCAGAAATCACTAGAAATCGTTGGAAATCACCAAAGCACTGTAACCATGGTGAGTTGAAGTGAAACGCGTCGAGAAATGTGGTCGATGTCGGTAAAAAAGATTCTTATAAATACCTACGTTGCCGACGTTCGAATTTACGTCGAACGGGATGAAAGCATAAAAATTGTCGTATGCGCTTCTATGCTAAAACGATGATAACACGAGGTCTCACAATCAGAGAACAAATTCAGTTGTCACTGAAATGACAGATGGCGCAAAGTGGCACTCTGCAGTCAATTAGGGCATCGAAAACCACGAATCTAGGGGATTTCTGAAGTTTTACTTCGATTTGTTCATCATTATTGTACGGAAACGAGATATGGAGTATGCCAATTGGTAAAATACCCAATACAATTCGACACAGCTGTCGATATAAATACGAACGTCGGTAACGTAAGTATTTTGAAGAATCCTTTTTACCGACATTGATGAAATTTCTCGACGCGTTTCACTTCAACTTAAGGTGATGCGAAAGTGGCGCCGAAGAGGTCTCGTTCATAAAACTTTTGATGGAATTGAGTGTACCGAGTCGTTTCACACTTTGAAACGTGAATATGGAAGCTATCGGGAAAGTCCTGACACCTATGAAATTTCAATTTTTTAAACAATATGTTTATAGGTATTTTCAACGTTTTTTATAAAAAATGAAATTTCATTTGTTTCAGGACTTCCCTTGTAGCCTTCGTAGTCACGTTGAACAGATTGAAATGATTCGGTACACCCGGTTCAGCGAAAAGTATCCTGAACGATTGACTCCTCGCATCCCCTTAAGGCCGAACGTCATTTGACAACAAATCGCAATGTTGTCTATCATATGAAATCGATGGCAACCGGCTCTCAAAGAAAGAAATCGTTCCCACTTATTTCCACGTGAATAGTCCCTCGTATTGTATACATTTATGATATGACGACGTCAGGTGAAAATGGATTAAACAGGAAAGGTTGAAAAATATACTCACCCTTTTTTCCATAAAAATGAATGTCACGAGGGCAACAACAAGTACGATATCACCGATGATGAAATAAATCAGACCCGATACGATCGGACTGGCACCAATCCATAATGAAGAAATTTCTGTGATGGCTGTAAAAATACCAGCGAGGGCCTGTCCTCCCGACATGGCGGTTATATATGTCACTGGAAAGTGACCAACGATTCCCATGAGTCCTCCTCCATTCAATGCACTGGCAGCTGGACGGAATTTCAAGTTCAGCATTGTTTTTCTCTGAGATCATTTAAGCGAAACATTATGTACTCACAGTTTATGAGAGCCACCGTTAAAAGAGTAAATATTAAGAAACCATGCTGCCCTACAAACAAAAAACCGGCATTAATTTTACATTTTAATACAATTTAACTTAGGAATATAACGGTAACGCGTTATCACGTGCTGGATTTTCATCGTATTTCTTAAAAAATGTCCGTTGCGAGGGCACAAAGTGGGGAAAAGCAAAGTACTTTTAGGTTAAATAACGAAGTACAACTTATGCTTTCCAGACCGAACATTTTTTTCTGTCTTTATTTTCTACTACCTGTAGTAACCTTTTTATTATTTCGTAAAGTGGCATCGAGCATTCTCCGCAATATTCTGCGGAATATTTTCAGGAGAGTTCGAAAAGTCGTGGACCTTCCTTAAATAAACTGCGAAACTTCCAACTATTAAGGTACTATAAAAGAGTCAGGCTATATACATATATATATCTGAGAGGTCAAATCGCCGGTGAAAGTATTCTGCTATATGGCTGTAACGATCCGTTTCAAATTTTACTTCGTGAATATTGAGGTTAACTTAAAGTAGGTCTTGACACTCATGAAATTTCATTTTTTATACAAGATTTATTTATCATGGATTAGAACCATAATGGCGTGGTCTGTGCCCATTTTTCATGTTTTACGCTTTTTAAAGGCTTACGATCGAAAACGAAGAGTCCCAGGACCTACCTCGGACAATTTCGAATGCTATAAAAATGGAATATTACAATGTCAGATGGGAAAATACCTTCTCCAATGATTACAAAAGAATGTTGGCTCGTTCCGTGGATAGTATGCTTTTATAGGAAAAATCTAATTGCAGCTAAGTATCACAGATGGCGTCAGTGGTCCACTACAGAATTAACAATCACGAGTTCACAAGATTTCGACAGTTTTACATCGATCTCTTTATAATTATTCTACCGAAATTGCATAAGGAACGCTTCATTTCGTGTAATTGTCAAAGTAGAGTGCTACAAACGTCAACTTAATTGCAAATATCGGTAAAGTCGTGCGTCAGCCTATGTTACCACTTGAGTAATGAAAATGGCGTTACCGCAAAAAAGAGTATAGATAAATTATAATGTATCGACGACGATTAGATTTGTCAGCGCTTTTCATATCACGTTAATAATAATATATTGTGCACCCAAGAGAGAAAGTCGGCATTTGTAGGATACGCGTGATATTCGCCTTCGACTCGTGCTCGCAAACTTGATACGCTGCAAATACTTGCTCGTCACCGGGGTGAATAAAAGATTTTTTACAAAGTCTGCAAGAAACAATGGGACTTTACTAGGCTCGTACAACGTGTGTTAGCGAGAGGGGAGAAAGTGAAAATGATTAACTCCTACGTAGGGCAATCGTAGGAGCCCGATTTGCGCATAAGCAAGCATCGTTTCCCTCCCGCCGCTCTCAGTGATCTCATTTACCACGCTGATTTTACAAAAAAATATGATACATATGTGCCGTTATGAATTTCTTCGCACACTCACAGTCAAATACAATTTATTATAATGGTAATTAATACATTCGGGTTCTTTGTACAGCGTTTGAAAAGAAGTTTCGAAGGGCAAGAGACTTATTCGGTTCGACGGTTGCTCAACGAATGGCGCATTTTGTCTTTTGCGATTCCTTCGTTGAATTTAGAAGATCTTACGTGGTCAAATCCCACGAAAGGAAAGGGGGAATAAGGATCCAGTCCAGGGTCTTTGCCGAGAAATGATAACTAGGTCCAGCGTCAGCGTGTGAACTTTTACATGGGAAATCGCATAACTTAATTGTGGACGCTTAGGAAAGGCTAACAAAGAAAGTAAACTAGGACCAATAAAACGGACTAATTGGACAAGATTATATTAAGAATATTTACAAGAACAGGGAATTTTTTAAGCTGGATAACGTACAGTTACCCGAAAGAAATTAAAGTATGAAAAAATTAGGGTATTTAGAAAATTAAAAATAAATAAATTGTTTAAAAATATTTGCCGAGTCCTAAAAACCGTACATTCTCAATGTAAGGATTCCAGTGAACCATATTACCTATGTGAGGTTCCCTCGAAGTTTCTCAACCATTTAATATACTCAACTACCCATGTAGAAATTTACCATCGGCGGAATATTGGCCCAATCTTGGCTGCCAAGCGTGGCCCATTGTGGAAATAAAGTCAGCGGAGCCTTGGCCAATCTAATTTGCCTTTTTTGGGCCAATATTTCTTAATTGATCAACGAACAAATAGCATTGTGTTTTTGGCATCGGCAGATGATCGGTACAGATCTTTACATGTACATACTGGAACGGATAGACGAGTGAGTGATAGCGGTGTATGTAAACCCAGTAATCTACCTTTGTCATTTAATAAGAATCAAAGAATTCTTTGTATATTCCACAAAGTCTGTAGGGAATGAAGGAAGTAATAATTTGTCACATTAACCGATAATTTCAACATTGGGCCAAGATGATCCGGGACCAATATTGGCCCAATGTTGAAACGATACGGTGTAGGCGGAAGGTAGATATCTACCCATGTCGCCGGCGTGCCCGACTTCGGCGACTCGACTCTTCGCGGTGGCTCGAGCGCGCCGAGTTTGATCAACCGATCACCGAATCTCGATCATGCGATCGGATTTTTTTTTTCATCCGATGAAACTTTTCACATCCTCGACCCCGATTTAGGGGGGACATGTATCGGCGATTTTCAAAATACGAACCGGAACCCGCCGGAAAAGCGTGACCTTTGTTTCGTGATACGTGCAGACACATACATGCGTACGCACGAAAACAGCGCTTTAGTAAATGAAAAAAGATATGTTCTCTATGAAAGAGCCCCAGTGAATCATCTATGTGGGGGGCTAGTCGAAAGTTTTCAAACGTTTAATTTAGGTTTCAGTTTCAAAATATCATTCTTCCATACATACCGGTATTTCTGGAGATACATTGTAATTTTATATTTCCAACAACCAGATGACATATATTTCTGCACGTAATATACAACGCGCGTTTTTGGAAAAAATACTGTCGTGCGCTCATTCATAACTTCATAGGATTATAATATATTTGGCGCGAAACTCTACGGCGTTTCCAAATGTATGAAAAGAAATAATTTAAGGAAAGAATGTATTTGGTCATCTTTTACCGTATCGGATGGAGGGAATTATGCGATTTATTACTTTCGTGACAAATGTAAGGACACGCGAGTGCTCGTCGTGAGGACAAACGCATAAAGAAATTGCACTTCTTATCCCGTTGCGATAATATTAAAACGAAAGGCTTGAATCTATAAATCACATATATACGAATACACTCGTTTTCTCTACGTAACTTTCGGCAGTATTTGAAATGAAAATATATTTGATAATAGGCGATTCACCGAGTGGGAGCACAGCAGGTGTTAGAAGATTCAAGGCGTGAGTAATGATCACTAAAATGTATCAAGGTAAATTAGTTAAGGTGATCTGAAAGTGGCGTCCGAGGAACGTCGTTTATGGAAATGTTCTCTTAACCGTGTACCGAATAGCTTGACATTTTTCCACGTAGAGTATAGAGGCCCTGAGGACGGTCTTGCCACTGATGAGACTCTATTCTTTAAATTTATTAATTTTTTGATTTTGTATTAAAAAATATTAATTTCATGGATGCTAGGACCTTCCTTTGGGTCTGCAGATTCATATGGTCAATTTTCAAATGACTCGGTAAACCTAGTTCAGTAAAAGGTTTCGTAAACGACAGACCCCTCGGATGCCACTTTCGTATTATCTTAAAGAATCTTGCAAATGAGACAACAAATACTGCGCATAATAAATAAAGAAATATTATTGTTCGAAGTCGCTGTTGAGCTATTGCCGGGAACGAACGTACTCACGTATTCGAGTTCACATTACCTAACGTATCGACGTCTCATAGTCTGCGTTCCAAACGAGAGAGAAAGAAGAAATACATTGGAATTATAAATGTTCTTTTTCTCTTTTTTAGACGCCACCTAATGTTATGTTTTATAGTTGGTCTCGTGCCAACAAAAGCTGAACCAGTGTTACCAACTGTGTCTAGTTCTACTCCAATTCCTAGTCGACGAATTAGCAACAGCGGTCGAACCTGTGAAACCGAAGACTGCAAAATTATAGGTGAGAATTCGAGGTGTCTACACTTAAAACGTATCCATGATACAACGGAAACAATGTGTGCATCCATGGAAGTCTTATTTTTGACTCATTCTGTACCAAAACGCCACCATATCGCAGGGTATTAAAAGTGTCATTATTTGGTTGGCGAACGTTTGAAAGTTCACTATAACAGTCCCGCCAAAAGGGCTGGGCAATAGTACGTTCTGTCTCCTTTGCATCGCGATTATCAAGAGACGCGGTAGCGGCTCAGACAAGTTCATGGCCGCTACCACTCTATATACTCGAAACATCTTGCCAGCGGGCAT